AGCTCTGAATACCTATGTACTATGTAGGCGTACCTATACGTGGTAAGTGGTAACTGGTATTAGTGTACTACTCAATACTCAGTATTAGTTTAGGTAGGTACCCACATTACTCTTAATGTAAATAATAAAATATTATATTATACTATTAATTATTATCTATACCCATCATCTGCCCAATGTATTTATTATGTATTTACCACCTATATAGTTTAAATAGTTATCAAAGTAATTGTTGATTAGGTAATATAACATATAATTGTTTATAATTATATTATATATTATATAGGTAGGTACCATAGTGAATGTTTAAATAATTAATAACTAATAAGGTAGGTATACATTTTATTATATTTACATTTATCAATATTTTACTAATATTAAACCCATAACTAATGCTATTATTAAATTTAAAATTTAAATTGTACACACCATTTGAGAAGATATCCTTGAACAATCTTATTATACAGTCCGACTGGTTCTTTTTTAGGAAGATGATAAAATGTATAATGTGTTAAAGCAGTCATGGCGATATTATGGAAATTACTATTTTTAGTGAAATATAATATAATATAGGTGCATAGAATAACAATTATATAATATATTATTTTTACCTATTTATAAAGAGTTATAGGTTTAATAGCAATGAACGAATTTATCATACAGATCTAACAAATATGAAACTATGGCAACTATCCGTCTATTCTTGATAGTTTCACCATCTAATATAATTTTAATTTTTAACAATGAGACCGTGGTAGCATAGAACAATAATGGTAGGTAGGTACCTGAAGTCTCGACACGTTGTTATGGTAATGTTAGGAATTATATAGGGCCGTTAGATAATCACAAATCAATACAAAACATTACCTATTGGCTATAACTGCGGTCTGCGGGTACTTAAACTTTGATAAGTTCTAAGGAAAAAAGCTTTTTACTAAAATTGACTATCTTCATCTAAACCCGGGTCTAAAAGGGTTAAAGGCACTTAAAGCTACAGACCACAATTTTTTATAGAATGATTCAAGTATATTCCTTGAAATTCCGAATTCATAAGCAATAGAAGTAGATATAACCACGTCTGTAGTAGTGTAGTGGATAAAACCCATAGAGGAGAACCAAATTTTTAATTACCTACCTACGGTAAATGGACATATCCCCCCAACTATTTTCGGTCTAGTAGGACATTTCCCCCCTCCAACCGATATATATTTGATGCCGACATTTTTTTAAAGTTTATTATTGGCCAATTATATTGAATTTAATAATATTATACTACTTATTATTTAATATGAAATTATTTTTATTATATTTTATATAATAAAAATAAAAAAAATTTTATATTTAGATTATAAATGTATATTTTTGATCAACTAAACTACTTGAAACGATAAAAATTTTAAAAAAAATAAGCATAAAATAAAATATAATTAATAATTAATAAAAATTGCTAAAAATTCCGAAATAAAGATGATACATTTTGTAAAAAACATTTGAGTTCTGCTTCTTTTGTTAATTCCAAACACATATTTTTTAGCCTTTGTTCATATTTATATTTTTTTTGTTAAAAGTTAAAACTACCAGTTTGGATATTTATTTGCTTGTGAATTTGATTCAAGTAGTTCAGTTGATCAAAAATAATAAATATACATCTATAATTTATTATATTTTTGAAAATATTAGACAATTGTATATACAATTAATATATTATGTACAATGAATAGGCAATACAATAATTGCATATTAAATAATAATATAAAATTAGTAAATAGTAAGCTTTAAAAAAAATTGTTGGAAAATGTGCAAATCAAAAATATATTGGGCGAAAATGTCCTACTACACCGAAAACAGTCGGGGGGGGGAGGGAATGTCGACGATTCCTACCTACAGGAGTCAGTGGTTTTTTCATAGTAATTGAACGCCATAACCGGAACCGAAACCAAAAGCTTTAAAACACAAACACCGGTTAAAAAACCATAACTGAAACCTAAAATCTTCTAAAAACCGTCTATTTTTTTTGTACAAAACCCAAACCGGAACCATAGGATTGAAAAACCGTTCTTAAAAAATTTAAGACTAATATCGGTTTCTTCGAACTTTATTAAGTTAATTACCTACCTATATTATTTAAAATTTTAGTTAAAACGAGTATTTTTATGCGAAGAAAATAATATTATGTTTGAATTCCGATACTATTATAGCCTATAGGTATATGTATATTATAGTATTACGAAATAGCCAATAGGTAATTCGAATTTCGAATATTGTTTTAACTTTCATTTATATTTTATATTATTACCTACTATTTAATTATTGATTCAAAATTAAAATACAAATATCAAAATTGTTATTTTGTTCTCCCCTATGCCGCTGTGCCCGTCTGTATTGTTATTATTTGAAGTATTTGGGTATATTATTATTTATTACAATTGTTTTGTATTCGACTGATCCGCGTCTGGACGCCTTCATCAATCGCTTATGTCATTATCATCAGTCTCCTCAGTGTCCCCTGAATTACAAATGTTGAAATGTAATAATACTTTATTACAAATGTGTGTACCAAATCTTATAACGTGTATTTAAATCTTAGACAGTTTCAGCGTGCCCTACCCCTACGTAAATCCGGTGAGTCCGACGATTTTTATTCTTAATATTCTGCTAGATCATGCTATTTCGTCGCAATACGATGCTACCGATTTGCGACGAAATACAAACTGTTTTCTTTTTCGTCTCATTTGTCGGATTCACGTATAGGACACGCCGACACGGCGTTAACCGTAAACCATTTTAAGTAACAATAGTCCAATACGGCAATACCTACACTTTTTTAGTATAAATTTAAATTAATATTTTGTTCATAATCATAAGCATTCATCATATAAGATCTGAGATTTATTGTACTGCAATTGCAATATAGTGTGATGTTATTGAAAATTACAATTAAATATTAATGTACCTAATCGAATAATGATCTCAACCAAAATAATATAGTGGTTTGGTGTGGCGCATTGCGTGCACTCAACTGCGGAAACGCACCGAGTATACGTAACCTGCGGCCTGCGTTGTTAGTTCCCGGATGGGTGACCACCCGGGATTTTCAGCAACAAATCCTTGCCACACATACAAAAAAACGTGTTTTCACCCCCCCCTACAAACAAAACAAAAAAGCTAATGGCCTAAGTTGCCGGGCTCAAGCTCAGTAAAAAAAAAAAAAAAAACAACAACCATAATAATATGTTGTACCTATGCAAAAGTAGGTAGGTAGTAGGTACAACATAATAAAATCACGAAATTATAATTCTGCTGAACGTAAATTTGCTATATTGTATGTAGGTACCTAAACTAATAGTATACAAACCAGATATATTTTAGAGCTTTACCATCAGCCCTCTTAATAAATAATAGATAATAAAAATCAAATCTACATTTATTAAGTACAGGAAAATAAAATCAAAATTTGAAAAACCGTTCCAAAAAACCAAAACCCAACGTTTTTAAAAACCGTTCATGATACAGATAAATTTTAAAACCTCAACCAAAACCAGAAACCGTAGAAAATCGTTCTCAAAAACTGAAACGGTTTCGATCCTCGCCTACCTATCTATTAAAATATTGATAAAATTTAAGGGTCTTCTACTCTTCTGTTACACTAGGCTCAATTTTAATTTTTGGTTTGGAGTTTGGAGTGGTCATAAAATATATTTAAATCAAATAGACCTATGGGCCAGAACCCCTTACGACGCACACACCCTGAATTGTTATGAATTTACCTTATTTAATATTATTACTTTATGCCTTTATGTATAATACGAGTATAAAACATTTCAGCTTAATATATTTATCATCTTTATCTTAGCACATTCCTACATTTAAATACAACACATCTGCTACTAGAATTAAAAATATTTTCCTTTAAAACAAATATAGAAAACATGTACGTATCCACGGTTGTTCGTTTTTCAGTTAGGTTCTATAAATTGACTTCAAAAAATTAAAAATTAGATTCAATTAGGTACTAACCACCCCCAAAGTTGAAAACATAGTATCTTCTTGACAACAAGTGTATAGGTACATCACACACAGAAAAAATAAAACATTTTTCTAAAATTAATACGTTCATCGCTTCGCTCAGAATCTAAAATAATAATAAAAAAATTACTTTAAATTTGCTTGAGTAGAAGTCTCTATGTATCACACTACTATCATTTCTTTAATAAGTAATTATAACCGTTAAAAAATAAACATTTTTTAAAAATATTAAAAAAATGAATGAAAAAATAAAAACCATGTTTACCATAGGGAATATAATTAGAGAAATATTAAATACTTAAATCCGATTCACAGCTGCGTCGTGTGTCGTGTAGTTCAAATCGTATTGTGATTGGATAATAGTTTTTTGGTATCATGTAATAACCAATAGTTGCAACCGAGTATACCAAGAATTGACTACTACTCAACTTTTAAACTATATTGGTTACCTGTCGTAACCATATAATAACCAAGCCCTAGCACAATACGACACACGAGGTAGTTGTGCATGCGCCATAAGCAATGATACCTATTATCAAACTTAATAGTAAGAACATTATCTTTGTTAACCATTTTATTTTTTTATGTGAGATATTATGAGTATATGAAATAACAAATTAAAAAATCATACATCTTGCTTAAAAATTAAAACATGGAGAAAAAATGTTGATGCTCAACCACAGATAATGTTGTTTCCTTTAGATTTGATAATAAGTCAATTTCACACCACGAATTAAGATTTATAAATAAATCTTAATTCGTGATTCACACTAATATCTAAACTACATCACAAAATTGGATATGCTGAACTCAAATTGTATAATATGTTGTAAGTTTGTAATACGGAGCAACACATGCATGAGGTACACCTCTTGAAAAACATATTATAAAACATTTTTTTAAGGAAATACATTACATTAATAAATACATAACTATTATATTATATTATTTACACATTTATAACAATACAGAAATTAACTTTGTTTAAGTCCTTTAAATCCACGAGCAAGTAGATATTTTTCAGCTGAATCTGATCGACTAGCTTCAGGTTTTACAAATTTTACATTTGAATAAAATTTTATCAAAGTATTTTCAATCTCTGCATTTTGATTACCATCCAGTATTTTAATTAAACATGTTGCACCAACATTCGAGTTTAAAACAGCAAATCTGTAAAATATAAATGATTTATTTCATGTTTTTTGTTATTATTGTAATTATTACAATTACTTACTTAACTACTGAATATGCTAATTTTATGATTAAATCATGGTCTAAATGTTTCACTCCTGAAGCGTTAGGTGCCATATCACTTAAAACAACATCTATAGGACGGTTATTTAATAATTCTTTTATCTTTTGCCAAGTTTTAGGAGATGTGAAATCAGAATTTCCTAATAATGTTACTCCTTTTATCGGATACATTTGTTGAAGATCAATACCAATCAGTAAGCCAGTTGGAATTTCACTATCTAATTAGATAAACAAAAAGTACATGTCGGTTTAATTAAACAATTTGTATATTAGTGATAGTAAAAATGACAAAAGCACATTTTAAAGGAGAATTATTTATCTCATTTTTATTCTTAAAATAACTACAACATTTGACGATTGTTTAATATGCTATCTACTACATATTTTGTTGTTTAGTATGCAGCTATCTACAGAAAGAACGTTATCTACCAATGTATGTCATACTACTAATATTTTTTTTTAGGAATGTGAAACAAATACTAATTTAGTTGATAATTAATATTCTAACGTATAACAAGTCAGTTGGTGTTGTTTTTTAAAATTTAAAATGAGTTATTTAACCGTGAGTTATTTTTACTGGCACATCCTTGGGAATAAAGATGTATGTGCACAATTTTTAAGGGAAAGAGAACTACGCATAAACAAGATTACAGGAAACGGGACTGAAACACTAACCATCAAAATGATTTGGAAACGTGTTAAAAACAAGTATGGCATTAAATCATGCAGAGCTACTGACTTATTCAAATATCAACATCAAGATGATAATCGATTCTTGATTTGATAAAAATATAATATACATATATTTCCAAATTATAATCCAAAATTCAACTTGAACACCAATTTGAACATTGATGTGGTTGAACAATTCATTTTCATTATGTAGATAGATTATTGAACAGATACTGTACTTGTATACATATTATCAATGGTAGCTGAGCACAACATTGATGGTAGGTAAACAATAAATTTCTATTTTCTTAAAAATATAACTTACTAGTAGCATTTGAATTAATTCTAGATGCAGCTACTTGTGACCAGCTACCCGGAGCTGCACCAATATCTATTACACATTGGCCTGGTTTCAATATAGAAAATCTATCATCCATTTGCAATAGTTTGAATGCACTTCGACACCTGTATTGAAAATGTATAACACATTATATTCTTTTTGTTCAGCATTATGTTAATGATAATTACATTAATTTATTATGTGTAATTTAATACATTACACAATTAAAACATAAATAAATATATTTCGTCTACAATACCTATAGCTTTTTATTTTGGCTTTTTCTACATAAGGATCAGTTTTTTGTCGTAATAGCCATTCTTTTGAACTGTGGTTTCTTTTAAATGTTTTCAGGAATGACCAGCTTTTACAAAAAGTTATTTTTACCATTATAAAACACAGAAACTCAATAATAAATAAAGTTGATACTTAAAATAACATAAAATATTAAAATCAACAGTCGGCACTATTAATATAAATAATTTCAAAATGTCAACACTTATTAAATACTTATTATTTATATTTTTAAGACACCTATTAAAGATTAAAGAATACTTTGTTGATAATATTTTTATTTTTTCTTTATTAATTGATTGATAATATTTAAAATGTAATCTGTTACGGTGTTATCACAGAATGGATTTTGGAATTAATGGCATAGTAGATTATCTATGATTTTAGAAAAAAGTGTGGAACAAATGGATGGTGGAAAAGTGGTTACTGGAAGAAATATTTTTTAGAAAAAGCACCACATTATAACAGTTGGTGGTCAATAAGCGTTTTTTATTCTGGAAAGTCTCCTTTGCTTGTGCTATTCTGTAGTGAATGTCAGCTTTACTATACGGCCGTCCTCTGTCAAACGTTCATAAAAATTTATTGGAATTATTTTTTTTTTAAAGTAGGAAAACTTTTAAGGAATGTTGAACAAAATTTTCAAATCTTAGATTTAAAAATAAAAATGTTTATGAATTTTCAACTAAAAATTGTGACTGGATTTTTAATATTTTTCAAATGTCATTGTAACAATTTATGGTGTATACAAAATGCTAATATAAACATTCAGTAAATATTTCATGTACCTACGATAATTTGTTTTATAGAGATACCCCAAAAACCAAAATCAATTTTGGTCAAAAAATCCCGTTTTTCCTTAATTTTCTTGGCGCCAGTGAAAACTATTGGGAATTTTATACTTTTGACCCCTTATATAGACATATAGTACCAAATAGATTCACTTTCCTATCAAAAAAGATACTGTTGAAGAAAATTTAAGAATTTTTAGTGTCCTAAAAAAGCTAGGTGATGACAATGATGACAGACAAAAAAAAAACACATCATTGTAAAATCATACATTTATCGCTTCGTTTATTTTATCCAATTTTGAGTTTTCTATATTTTCAACTAAATTAGCTGATATTTTGCAAGTATGTATGTCCTCAGAAATATACTTAGCAACCCATCCTTCATATCGAAGGTAGCTCCTTGTATAGAAGTCAGAACTAAGACAAACAATATTATTGAACAAATTTAAACTTTGGATAATTATTATAATTTATAGGTATATTAATATTCATTTTAATTCAATTTGAACAAATTGACTTTAGAACAAAGGTAGTGTTCCACTGTTCCACGATGTTGTAAGGATGCCATTATAATATGTTCATGGATGCCACCACGAACATAGTGAGGATGCCATAGATAAAAATGTCTTCTTATCTGATCCATGATAAAAAATAATTGATAAAAAATAATAAAATATTTAAATATAATAATACGATTTAACTATTATATAGTTATTAGTTATTACCATAATATTACGTATTACGTAATAGCAACAGAGCAACTATTGAACCATGTTTATGCTGTGAAACGACTTTTCTATGTTTTTACTATTATACATTTAATGGGCTAGAGAATTGTATATAACTACTGTGGTACAGCATAATTTATACTGTAACATATTCAAAATCAATGAAAATTTATTTATTCATTTAATTATTGGTTAAACTTATTTCATTCTATTACAAATTGCACCTAGGTATGTAAGTATTTTGTGATGTTTCATAATAATCATAGTCATTAGTTCTATTCTTATATTATTTTAGCCATCTAATGGATCATTGCTACGACGAGGATGTTTTATTTAATCAATTTTTGATATCCCTCTGCAAATCATCTGCAGAAATATTTAATAAAGCTGTTGAAAATGGATGGCCTATATGTGTTCCCAGAGAAGGTTCCTTCTCTAAAAATAAGTATTCTGAAAAAGATTTCAACGACCACATTTTGACTCCCAGTAAGTGTTCAGATTTAAAATTTATTACAATAAGTGGCCACAATGTTTCTGTAGACAACCATGCAGTTACATGTCAATATGAAAACAAGACTTACACAGTAGACATACTATTTATTGAAACATGCTATACAGAAGATAATCACAGTTATAAAGTAATATGCATAGACGGCCCATTAAATTGTGCTACTATGTTAGAAGATATTATTGTAATAACATCTGTTCAAGATTGTTTGAATTTTTTGTATTCCAAAAGCAACAAATTGTTATTGAAAGATCTGAGATCTTTAATGGATGATTTTTTATCATCCAATGATTATATTAATATGCCTGTTGATGTCAAGAAAAAATCCATTGAAAATTTGTATATTAAATGTTTAAAGAAAGCAAACTATCATACTAAAAAGTCCAATCATTTTTTTCAAAACAATATTAAACTTGCAGTAGAGTATTATATACAGAATAAACTGTATACTGTCTTGATGAATAATATAAATGTCTTAATGGCAACAGAAGATGCCAAGTTAAATAAACTTATTCGGAATTACTCTAGTGCTATAATTGATATAGAAGTGGACCAAGAAGTACAAACAGCAATACCAAATGCCAGATGTGAATTGTCCAAGTTGTATATGCACAAAACTATTATAGGAAAGTTTAAATGTTTAAAAGATACATTTTTGAAATTGTCTAATGGAAATAATAATTTTACAGTGGATAACCTACTAAGTGCTTTGGTTCATTTAGTCATACATTGTAAAATACCCAATTGGAATGCTCAAATATATTTTATGAAACATTTTGTTGTCAGCAATATAAAAGACTTTGATGATAATTTCTATTTAACTTCATTAGAAGCAGCTATTGAACATATAAAATTTCATAAATTTGATCTTAAATTATCAACAAATTTCCATGATTCAAATTATGGTACTTTTTATAATTATATTTGCAATGGAGAGTACTATAAAGTTAAAGAAACCTTAGAATATGTAAAAATACAACAATCTTGCTCAAAATGTCATCCTTTATGTGAATGTGATTCTTGTATGAAGGAGGTATTAAAAGAATCGGCAGTTTGTGTGAAGTATAAAGATGAACAGGGTCTCACACCTCTTCATCTAGCAGCTTTTTATGGCTATCCACTCATTATTGAATTACTTTTGGAATATGGATCAGACATAAATGCTTTGGATAATTTTTCACTTACACCTGCCCATTATGCTGCACTTAGAGGACAACAGAATGCATTATTGTTTTTGTTACATAATAAAGCATTGATGATTGGAGATAATGAGGGTAACACTCCATTGCATTTGTGTTGTTCAAATGGTCATGATCTTTGTGTCAAAGCATTGTTATATTTTATGGAATTTTCGGACTCAAAATTAAATATAAATGTACAAAACAATCAGGGAGACACACCTCTTCATTTAAGTTTTAAATGGGGTTACACTAATGTAGTCCAAATATTGATTGAACAAGACGCAGATCCATTAGTGTGTAATCGCAGAGGTCAAACATGCTTTGATTGTGCCCACAATTCCAAAATGGTAGAGACATTTAAAATTAATAAGAAAAACAATACAGAAAGAGTGAGAAAAAGTAGTGTTGAAATAACATTGCAGCAAAAAATGATTGGAAAAATAATAACTGCTGTATCTGATGGTGACATACGTTTAGTACAACACTATTTAGGCATTGATGATGAAAATCAAAACATAAATACGTTTGTCGATATAAATTGTTCTAATTTTAAAGGCTATACTCCACTTCATGTAGCAGCAGCCAATGGCCAAACAAATATTTTAAAAATGTTGATTGGATATGGGGCTGAGGTTAATTCATTGACAACTTCGGAACAGTATACTGCATTACATTTAGCTGTAAAGAACAGAATGACAGGAGTTATTGATGTTCTTCTAGATTCCGGAAAATGCAATATTAACAATCAGGATAATGGTGGCAATAGTGTATTGCACTATGCATGTACCATTGGTGATGCTAATATAATAACTAGACTACTCGAACATGGTGCTGACTTCGGAATAATTAACAAGAAATTTATAAGTGCTTTAGATATTTTAAACAAGAATACAGAATTAAGGTAAACAAAATTAAATTATATCTGTAAATGTATGGACAAGATACCTAAATGTTTAAAAAAAAAAAATTTTAAAGGTCCCCACTGCAGCAGTAGCGGTAAAATGACTCTGGAGACTATATTTGACCGTCAAGACAAAATAATTTTACCGTCACTGCTGCAGTGTGAGGTAAGACCACAAAATAAAAAACATTTCATCCATTCTGTGGTTAAGCATTGAAAATTAATACATTTAAAACTATTTATAGTTCACTTTAATAATATATTTGTAAAAAATAAACAAAGATATAGCATAATGCAATTATCTTAAAATAAGAAATTAAAAATATGCAAATTTTTGCTAATTATAATTATAATTATTATATGCGCCAGTTCGATTCCTTGGTCAAGGGCGGCATTTTTCTTTGGGCAAGTCCCCACCCGGGCATGGCAGATACCTACGGGTGCCCAATCAAAAATTCTGCCAAACAAATACTCACGTGTAAAAACCCACACTTCAAAACATTACCACCACCACTATACAACCCTACTAACAGTTAATGGCCATAAGCTTAAGGCTCAATAAAAAAAAAAAAAATATTATAATTCAAATAATAAACTTGTCTTTAATATTTGTTTCAGGCACTTGATTTCAACTAAAAAAAATCACTGATACACAATACAGTGAAATATTATTTGAATCTTAAAACAAAAAAACGTTTAATGTGTTTTGCAACAAAAAAAGATCTATTTATTCATTTTTCGTTTTGAAATTGTATTGTTAGGTATATAATATAAAAATAAAGAAGAAAAAAAAGTGTACTACTGATATATTTTCCAAGAAAATTAATACCTATTTTACTAAAAATAAATAATAATTTATTTTTGTTAACATGTTTAGTTTAACCTGTTTAAATAACTTTATACAGTATATGATAAATGTTTTTATAATGAATTAATAAATTGTTTTATATATATATTTGAATATTTTGTAAAAAAAATTACCACAATCTAAAATTTCTAATTTTCCTGCGATCCTGTCAGAAAAATGAAAACAGTGATACAAAACGCTGTAATAAGTAATAATGAACATATTTTTAAATGTTATAATAGCCCAATTCTTCTGCTACTGTGCTTACACATGCATATGATTATTATTTATTATAATGAACAATTGGCTTAAATATGTGCATACAGCTTATAATCTGTGGCCTGTGCACAGGCAATGTTCAATAACTATAACAAATAATTAACAAGTTACAACACTGCACTGTTAATTAGTTCATGTTTTAAGGTTTATCTGCATTTATTTAGTGAATATGACCCGCAGACCCCATTAGGCCAATTATAAGATGTTCACATATATAATCACATCCTTTATTCCTAATTTCTATTGACTATAATACCTAAAGTATACAGTTTGTTTGTACAAGTAACAAGTGTACAACTATCATAATAATGAATAATGATCATAATACCCGGTTCGGTTTCTGTTTTCATTAATTATTATTCATATTTCATATAATCTATGATCTTACCGTGCATTCTGTTATCTGTAGAATAAATCCTGATTTGTTTGATAACAGCCACACAAACAAGTAACAACATAATGATGATAATAATAATAATAATATTAAATATACGTAAACCAAACCAACTGCGAACTTCCATCGTTCCTGTATTTTTTTTTAAAAAACAATTTTCAATAAGTATTTAGTTTTAAAATTTAGACATTTTGATGGCAATAGTGCTGTCATGTTTCAAAAGATGCTTCGACGGCATCAAGTACACAGAACATACGTCCTTTCCATTAATCAACCCTATATGTTTGGATACCAGCCGAATGGGTACAGGACAATATACATGGATAATGATTGATATTATACGATTTATTTAAAATTTGCTAATAATCACAGGTAATGAAGTAGTGATTGTGAAAAATGGCACCAGGATATGTGGTAGTGGTGGCGTCTTGTGTACTGCTCCAATAGTGCAAAATAAATGTTACTTTGAAGTAAAAGTACAACAATCTGGTAAGTGAAACAGATGTGTGCCTTTGTTTAAATTAATTAAATATTTTTATTTATATTTCTGATTAGGAATCTGGGGAGTAGGTGTAGCTCTGAATGATGTAGATCTGTGTAAAGCACCTGGTGGTCACGATCAATATTCATGGGTATTGTGCAATGATGGGGCACAAAGACATAACCAGCAAGTGTTAAAAGCTATAGATAATACCATTGAAGAAGGTGATATTATTGTAAGTATTAGAATCATTTTTAAAACAGATCCTTGGTTGCTATAAATCAACAAAATGTTATTTTTAGGGTATTTACTATGACCATGTTGAATTAAACTATTCAATTAATGGCCAACCAGTGAATGAACCAATTACAGGAATAAGAGGAACCGTATTCCCAGCTCTATTTGGTCAGTAAAAAAATATAATATATTTATTAAATTATTTCAGTAATAGGCATATGCAGATTTGTGATTATCCATTAAAAATAAACATTAGAAAATATGACATAGTTTATACATTTGTTTAACATATGGATTTTTAAATTATAACTATAAATATGATAAATTGTTAAATAATAACTATTATGTTTTTGGTTTTTAGGTACTACATAATATGTTCTGTTTGATACAAATTTGGTTGACTTGAAATCTTTATATCAATGCAGTGCTTTAGTGTCTAATGAATGGTCTTTAAATTTTAGAGAACCATTAAATTAATCAATTTTTAATGCAACCCAGCATATGACAAATTAATGGGTCTATACAAAAACAAGAAAAACCATTTACATAAAAAATCCGGTTTAAACAATATTTGATAAATAAAAAAAAAACTTATGAGTTTAATCTTTGCAAAAATTAAAAAGATCCAACAACCCATATAGACAATGTAACGAACTTGGTGGAAGTCTGGTTTATTTATTTTCTGTTTCTTAAAATTAAATATCTGATTATAATGATACAAAAAACAATACAGGAATGAGTTGAAAATATTTTGCCTAATAAAATGATGTCTTGCTGTTTTTTTTTTTTTAAATGTAAGTGTTTAAAGCCACCATAGACCTTACACTAGTATAAGTATAACGTCTATGGCACTCGTACATGTTCATAACCCCACTACGACTATACCTACTGCTGCATTGTTGTCAGCATAGTCTTTATAATAATAGACAGCTAATTTTAATATTTGTATAGCTGTTACAAAATGTTTGCCGCTCATCAACGCAATCTTTAAATATTAAAAATAGTATGACATATATTTTACGATAGCATTAAAATAGTTATAAATTTTATTTTTCATTTAGTTTTTAGGTTACAGCTACTTTATATTAAAATTGTGTACCTAATAATTTTTTTTTCAGAAAATCATTTTTGTGCTGGTTTTCTCATATTATAAGCTTATTGATCATCTATTTAAAATTGATCTCTTTACTATTATTATTAAAGTTTATATTATAAAGTATTAAATTGTATTTATTTTTTTTCAGTGGACGATGGTGCAATATTAGACATTGTGTTGGAAAGATTTTCATATCCACCTTCTAATGGTTATGATAAAATCATGTTAGAGCAATCTATACTTTAACTATATATTGCGTAAAAGCTAAAATGAATAACATAATAATAAATATTAATCATTCCATTAATAATAAATTATAATTTTATATTTTTTCTATAAATTGTTTTATTTTTATGCATAATATATTAAGCCCATTTGTAAACTAATAAATTTAATATTATTATGTAATTATATTAACTGAACATTTAGAAGGTTTGCTATATAGTAGTTATTCAATAAAATATTTATTAACTTTAAAAAAATTTCTTTTTAACAAATAACTCTTAATCATGAAAAAAACTATTCATTTAAAATTTATATTTCAGACAAGTACTTAAAATACTTGTTGTTCTTCTTCTATAAACAAAACAATGTATACTTTGTGCCTTCTAACTGTTCGTAGCCACTCTAGGATAAAATGTTTCAATTTTAAAATACAGATAATCAACCAGTTTAATTAAAGATAATATTATTTATTAATTTTTACAAATATAATCTACATCAGAAATATTGTAACCCTTTGAACAAAACTTAATAGCATGTATCAGTATTTTAAAAGTGATCAAACTAATAGGTAGGTAGGTAGTTAAACTAATATTTATTATGAATTATAAGACTAAAAAATATTTTAGTGTAGAACTATGTTAAAATGTATTTTTTTATTTATTATTATTTAACTGGTTGTATACATTAAAACCATACTATAGAAACATTTTACTCTTCTACTATTTCTAGTTAAATATGTTATATTATTTGATGTACTTAATACTCACATGTCTATGTGTTATGTGTATAATATAATATATAATATTATTAGTTTTAATTATATCTGAACAATAAATTCAGAATCTCAGTTTATCAAAAATATATTTAATTTTTGTAACCGTATTATATCTTATTCTTCAATTTATATTCATTTTTAAAAATAAAATAATCTTTTACTATATTATGTTGATGATAATTATGCGATGGTTAAGCAGCTTTGATTATAAGCAAAATCTTGGCAATCCGAGGAAAAATACCTTTATTAATAATCATACTTTATAAATTACAACTCAGATGAAAGAATTGATTACCTGTTGGATACTTTTATAGACAATACAATAAATTATAATATAAATAAATATAATTTATTTCATATCAACTTATACAATGTTAACACTATAATAGTTTTTAAACTTAATCAAATTCAGACTCATGTGGATACATAAAATATTCACATTTTAAATTTTTTTTTCTAATTATTTTACAAGCATATAATATATTTTCTCTCACCTCTACAGCATACAAATTACTAAAATATATATAAGTTTGAGATATTAACGGTTAAGATTGTCAACTTACTGTATACAGTATACACACAATTTGATTTAATGTATACATATTAATGCATTTCTATTATATATAAACAAAATATTTGGTAAATAATAAGTATATTTTAGAAAATATAATTATTAATAAACTATACTTTAAAACATTCACAGCTATAATTGTATTAGGCTTCCTAATAGGCGGTTAAAGTAGTTTAGTATATCAGGTATACAAGTTATCAGTAAATTAAAAATGTAGGTAATTTGAATTAATTTTGTTAATTTTACAGTCTTGAAAAAAGTAATATTTGATAATGAAGAATTCTAATGATAATTTTGATCATAATTTATCAATGATTTAATGGCATAATGTTTTGTTCTCATCTGATATGTATATTATAATGATAAATGTTAGTTAAATTTAAAATAATATATTATCTATTTACATTTATATTAATTGTAAAATTAATAAAGATTAAAATTATATTGGAATGGTTTAATTACAAATATTTAAATATTAAATATTTTTAGATTTATTAAAAATTTAATTTAACTTCTACGCATTATTTTCCTTTTCTTTTGATATGAGAGTATAATTTTTGTAAGAACATTGTTCCTTTAATGCCTCAAATACTAAATTATATAAACTATAGCTAATCATGTAATAACATGAATATTATTTAATTGTAATCAATTTTTTAAAACTGAATACATTAGTTTTAGTATTTTGGCATGGCAGGAACAAGTTTAGGAAATGATTAAAGTATATTTTATACATATTATTATAATATAATATACATACTTTCAAATAAACAAGAGATTTGTTACTTTACTTTGTTTGTTTTTGTTTAACAAAGAGAGTTAATGCTACGTATAATTTACCTCGTTGTCAGCAGCTTCAGTCTCTACTTCTTTTTCCCAGTCAAATGCAGTTTGACTTGGCAGTTGGCCTAAATGTGCCCATCGTTCTTTAAAATTTGGGTTTTTAGCTCGTAATTTTTCAAATCGTCTATTATGGAAAAAATAATAATAATTATTGTGTAAGTATAGTTAATATTAAATAATACAGTACCGAAACAAGTAATGTTTTGCAAAATTGTACAGTTCTATGTCTAATGCATTTATTTTTTTCACTTTTTCCAGCTCTTCATCATTTAATAAAGATTTATAAACAGCAGATAGAGTTGTATTGTGTTGCGTAAATGTTACTGCAAATCTTAAATTAAATGTTTCTTCAAATATGTACTGATTTAACTGAAAATAATAGTTCTATTATAATACCAATATTCCAAAACATTTTTTTGTACTATTTACTTTTTGAAATTCAGTGAGTCCAAAAAATGCAATTGATAATAAATTTCTTTTAGCACTTGCTAGCATGACCCTGTTCCGTTCTTCTTGGTTCATATATGAAGAATTATAGCAACCAATCAGAGATAGATCTGCTAACATTCTTGTTTGTCTAAAGAATTATACAAGATGTAATTTTTTAATTTTTCATGAATGTAAACATAAATAACAAGAATTTATGAATAATACAGTAGACAGTAAGTCTCATAATAACTATTTCAGTCATGGCTAAAAATTAATTTTTTTTACAATTGTAAAAGAGAGAAAAAAAATATATTTACATAATTTTCAAAAATATCCATATTATAAAGAGTTGTCAAAGTTATTAGCACTTAAGGATGTCTCACCCGCATGTGTTGTCCCCACCTTAAAATTAATGTACAGCATGGAAATTTGAACCATTTTATTCTGTTGTTCTAAGAATGTGATTTGATCTATAATAAAATTTAAATGTAAGATTATTATTTAGTGCTCCACAAAGGCTTTTATTGATATTTTATTAACCACAAAGCAATTTATATTTGTTATAATCATTTTAAAATGTACAAACAATTTACAGTTTTTAAATCCTCAAAACTTGCTTCTTAATTATTAGATCAATAAAATCCTCCACAATGCCCAAAATAATTATCTTACCTTAAAATTTTATATTAGGTAAATTTCTTCTATATTAAAAACAACAGAGTAAAATGGTTTATTGAGAAAGTACTAAGTGTTATGTTCTGCACTTGTGCGATTACAAAACAAAAATTATAAATGCGGTGTAGCATCCTCTTAAATAATGAATATTTAACATTTTGATTACCGATTAGCTGCTAAATTATATGGACAATCTGCAAACGAATTCAATGTAACATCTGTCCAAAATGTACCATTATAACATTTTGGCAATTCTTCAAGTGATGCTGGATGACCCCCACACCAATGTCTAGACATTCTCCAAGTTGCTCCTCTTTGCACATGTTTGTATTCAGAAAGGTAACGGCTAACTGGATCTCTCAATAAAGTAAGATAGAAATATCTACAAAGATAATTGATTAGATTGAATTCATTTAATCAGTGATCATTATTAGTCTATTTACCTTCGTTTAATGGATTTCCCTTCATTTTTGTCAAGTTCGGAATCAACACATCCAGTTAATTCAGTAAAATCTGCATGGAGTCCACATTTCCATCCAGTAGAATATCGACTAAAGAGCCAATTTTCATTTCGACTAGGTCTGAAACAATAGCATAACTTTCTTTTTCTTTGACATGTACAAGGACGCTGTAAGTCTAAATCTTGTACAAGATGACGTCCAAATGATGTACCACCGGTTTTCTGTATATGCAAAAACACCATGACATCATGTGCATTCATGTCAAAACGTAATTGATTTTCACTCTGCATATCAATGTAACTCACTCCTGTACCTGTGTCTTTGGCACTTTTAAAGTCTGAAATGAAAACAATAGCTTGAAGAAATAAATGTGTTTAAATTATTTGTAACAGATATTCCTTACCAGTTATGTTGGTCGATAGAAGATTCATTACCGTCCATTCCGAATAAATTGCAGGCTTAGGGTTGTAGGATAATGAACAACGGTTGTCTGAACAAAAGTAACCAAAATATATGATACCAAATAAAGTCAACAATGCAAAAAACATGACCAGTTTCCTTAGGGTAATACGATGTTCTATTTTTCTTCTCATTAGAATGTTTTTCAGTAACCCTTGGCAGTCCGATTGCTCAACTACATGGGTAAAGACCATTTTGTACCAATCATTTCATCCAGTTGGTCATACAGACTCGTCTATCCGGCAGGCAGATCCTACTGAATGTTTGTGCTGGTAAAGGACGTATGTGAAAAATGAATTGTAAAATACATTGCAGTAAACAACATTTTCAACATTTCAAGTCGGTGGTCACTGGTCTTTGATAATCAAAAAGTGATATCACAAAAAATTTGTAGGCAGTGAACAATGAAAATTAAATATTGAAAATAATAAATATTCAAATAACTATATTTACATCTTTAATCTTAAAAGTTTCTGTAAATTAGATAAACTGTTATCGTAAACTGATAACCTTACAGTGCAATCATTTCAATACGTTTCCAGCACTGCTTTCGATGTCAGGTCTATGTTTGAGCGCAATTTAGATGGATATTTTGAATTTAGTAGCGCACCGCAGCAGCTCGTTACTGCATCAATATATTATGCGCAGTACAATAAACAATTGTTATATATTAAGTTGTCTGTAGTTTAATGTTGTGTTATAATTTCGGAAGTTTAATAAAATATCGGTTTTATATGAAATCCAAGACTGTTGACATATTTATTACAGATACTTGTTTGATTATTTAGTATTGTTTACTGCTTTTTTTGCAGTATTTTCTGCAATGAAGATAATATGGATTACCCCATTATTACTGATCCAGAGTTACCGTAAGTCATGAAAATCAATATTAATATTATTGAATTAAGTTAATATATCTTTGATTCATATATTATAATTTATATCTACACTCGTGTTGTATTCCAATAGAATTCATAAACGAATACATAAACTGATCATTTATGTACAATTTCATATATTTCAACACCAATTTGGAAAAACGAGCAAATTAGAGAATTTTAGAATCGTTTATACAGTTAGTACACTTGGTAAAAAATAGTGAATTTCCAATAAGTATTTTTTTTCATTAATAATTAGGAAAAAACGGGACGTTTCAACACCAGGTTTTATATAAAATCAGTATTGGTTTTTTTGTTGTAATTCTTGTTGTATACTTGAATTATTATTCAAATGTTTATATCCGAATTTTCTTCTCATAGTACAATATTGTATATATTTTTATTTTTGTTGAGCTATTTAAAGGCATATACAATTTACGATTTTTTAATTCTAAGTGAAGCAAAGAATGTATTCGTTTTACAATGATGTACGTTTTTTAAATCTATTTATGTTTATGAAGACATTTTTTTTAGTAGGAAAAATCTTCAGATCATAAGCTTTGAAGGAGCTTTTTAGATTTCTGGTACCTAGAAAATTGAATCGAGTTGGTACTTTTGGAAGGTCAAAATTAAAAATTCTCAGTAATTTTTAAAATAGTTGGAAGTTACAAAAATAACTAATAAGATACAAGATAATTTGTTAAAATTGTAATATTGTTATTAAAATAATAATTGTTTGGTAACATACTAACAATATGTTTTCACTCTGAATCGTTTTTCATCTTATATTCGTATACAATATAATGTATCATTGAATTCAAGCTTAACGAGATACACTTGACACCTGCTAGCTATACACATCAAAGCAGTTATCTACTTGACTATACTTACTCATAATTTTTAGTTTTTTCCCAAAAATGTTAAAAAAAAAAAAAAAAAATGTACGCTCTGAAAAAAAGTTTGAACATTTGATACACTTTTCTAACTATAGCTAAGCTAGTTCAAGATTTCATAGATTGATTAATTTGAGTAAGTTACCAATAGGCTATATTCAATATTCCTATACGGCTGTATTATATTATATTACATAATAGGCACATAGGTAACATGTTAATATGTTATATAGTTATTAGTTGTACAATTTTAGTTTTAATTAAGACGTGTATTCGACCGTAACGATTAACATAATATTATATATTATTATAATCCTATTTTTTTTTATCACCGTGATACCTATTCTTACTTTTAACACTTTTATGTCCAATCAATATTTATTAACAAAAAAAATACTAGCAAAAAATAAATATATAGGAGGATAGTCAAAATACTTTTTCATTAAATAATTTTATTTATACTGCAAGGACGAAAAATTCTTATGTGGAGATTGATAAACAAAAAGTTATTATTTATGTATATTGTATATACTTACATAGGTACTCGTAAGTATTTTTGTCATTTTAGAATAATGTTCGGAGTGTCAAGGGTGATAAAACCACTGCAGGGTTTGATATGGCTTTAAATTTTAATAGTCACATTGTTCCACAACCCACACATGTAAAAGCCCTGTGGGCTGCAATCAGTCGGAAAAGATACATTATTCGCCATTTATTGCTATTTACTAGTTGTTACATATTTTGAAGTTAATTACTAACAATTCTTAGTTATTACTTATTAATAATCATAATACAATACAATATCAACATTTTAAGTGATGATATGAATTGGTTAATAATTGAGTAGAACGAATTGTTGACATCTATTAATCCCCTATCCAAACATCCAAATTCATTGATGGTCATAAAATGCCACTGTCAGTTGTCACTGAAGTAGTGAAGCACCAAAGTAACGCTTAAACACGCCATTGAATAGGCGCTGAAAAAAACATTTTGACATAGCCCGGATATTCACCAAGTCAGCCCTGGATTTGACCCACTTACCCACTGAATTCGATATTATTATATATAGGTAGTTAATAGTTATAGACACATATAGGTACCTTCAGGTTATGAATATACCGTATATGACATTCAATATATCGTGTACTCTCTGTGTCAGTAATTATACTGTATATAAATATATACAATATATAGCTACCTAAATACTAAATCTTCAGCAATACAAATGTACCTATACATACATTTTTTATAATGTAAAAATATAGTTACCTACTTAGGATTTAGGAACAAATGTTGGTATAATTTTATATTGTTAACATATTTCATCATACCTACCTATAAATTATATTATTTCACATTAAAAATAAAGCATATTAACATTGTACCTATGTTGTAACATAAATTGAACGTGAGAGTACCTACCTACGACAAGCTGCAATATAATATACCTACTGGCTACTATATTATATAAATAGTATTGACATCAGACATGTATATATTTGATATGTATAAATTATAATATTATTATATTAATATATACGTACATCATACATAATACATATTACTATGGTCACGAGTCACGAATCACGATACAAATAATAATGGTACCTATAGATTATTTCCTATTCGTATCCTATACTATTAACTATAACCAATAATATTGCGTATGAGTGTCTGTACATTTTTTCTCAAAAAGAACCCCACGGATTTCGCAACTAGGTGTTTTTTGATAAATGGAATATATTCATTGCCGTAACTAGGCTACTTGAGGCCTGTGTGCAAAACCAAAATATTGAGGCCCCTTATTATCTTTTTCAATACACATCTCAAAAACTTTTTTTGCAATTTTTAAAGTCAGCAGACGAAAATTCGGGCTTAAACAAAAAAAAAATTTTAATTTAAAATAATCTATAATTTTAAAACAATTTCTCAAGGCTATAACTAACTCAAAAAAGTAAAAATTTTCTAAAATGTAATTTATTGAAAATATTAATATAAATATTTGGTGAAAACTTCAATGGTCTACGGTTATTAGTTTTCGAGTTATACCAAAAAATAAAATTTTTGGTTTTAGGTAAAAATGACAATTTTTTTTTTTTATTGACGCTTTTTAATAACTAAAACTAAAAATTTCGATTTCGATCTCCAAAAAGTACCAACTAGATTCACTTTTCTAAAAGAAAAAATGCTGATCTCGAAATTCGGAATATTTTTACTACCCAATGTTGATGACCGACAGAAATGAAAAAAATTATAGACATCTTGTAAAATCAATACATTTGTTCGTTCCTCTCGAAATCTAAAAACAGTGATCACGACTCCATGCTAAATAAAAAAATGAAATAACATTGGTTTCGTTTCCAAATCAATACCTAATAAATAATTTATGTATTTTAATAATTTTATATTAGTTTAATATTAGTCTTTAGATCTTTTGAGGCCCTTCGATATATTATGAGGCCCGAGGCCTGTGCGTGCGGTGCACACTTTGCACACCCGGTTTTTACGGCACTGAATATATTGGTCAATGTCTCATCTCCGAAAAATTCTTGTTTTTGATTTATGCTAGACATTTTGAAAACTTAATGAAATGCTTAAGTATATATTGTTATTATTTAATATTTGATTATTCCAAAGAATATATTATAATATTCAGAACAAGTGTTCCTACATAAAAGTCGACTTTGAAAATAATGTTAGTTACCTACTTGGTTTAGTGGGTGGTTAGTCACTGTGATAGTTGAGAATAAAAAGATTTAGTTGAAGCTTCATTAGATAGGCCAAGTGCAATAAAATAGTATATTGTGTGGCAAGGGCGGGAAGTGAGATATTTCAGTCTCGGCTCGAGGGCGACGTGTGCGACACGAGCCGCAGGAGAGTGGCGCATTTCGTCCAAGACTGAAATTGCCTTCCCGCCCGGCACTTTTTGGGATTTCCACTTTACCGCCCGGCTCTATTAGAGATTCCCACTTTATCACCCGCTGGACGGAAAAAGGACGCTTTCGAAAGCTTCAACCGCTATCGAAAACCAAACTTTCTGTGCAGGTGTGACAAAAATTATTTTAATGAAGCAATAAAAATAGCGCTTATCGGATTACTAATTAGTACTTTTAAATAAAACACAAAAGTTATAGAAGGTTGAAATGTTCGTTTTTGTGTAAATACACATATATAGCATAGATAATATAGGAAATTACGAATATCAATTGAATCAGGAAACCATAAATGTTAAAAATATGTAGAATTGATAGGACCGAGGAACCATGTACGGTGTACCTATGTGACCTATCAATGCTTTAGAGCAGTGGTGGCCAACCTTTTTTTAACTCGGGCCATAAAAAAAAAATTTTTTGACCGCGGGCCATAAAAATTTTTTTTACTTTTAAGTCATCAGAATTTTAGGTATAGGTATATAATTTTATAATTAACGACGTTTTTATTGTACTTAATAATTTTAATGACTTTATTTAATACTTAACTTAATAATTACTACAAATTAAAGAAAATTAAATCGGCTTACATTTCAAAAAATATTTTTAAATAAATTATTAAAACACATATAAAAATAAATATAATCTATACAAAATATCGTTTTACACTTACAAAACATATTTTAAAATGTAGTAATTTGTTAATGAGAACTTTGAGCTTGTTTCTGTTGACAGAGGACATTAATATTAGGTTTTAATTTGGTAGAATTTACCCGGAGAACGGCGTGTATGACTGATCACGATGGCTGTAGAAACTACAATGTAGATAAAATTGGTCGAGCAACGATAACAGTAATATTACTATATGTTGTATTACTATATATTGCTATACTACTAATATAATTGTAGTATTGTAGTTTCTACAGCCATGGTGATCGTATGAAAATAAGATAAGATACGGTAATGCTACTTATAAGTTATATTATTAAATTACATTGTAACAACAAAAACGCTACGATATGGCGATACGGGATTAAATATAAAGAATGTATACTGTATATATTTAATTTTTTTTTTTACGTAAATGTAAAATATTATAGGTACTTCTTTCGCGGGCCAGATATTAAATGATGGCGGGCCGGAGTTGGCCCGCGGGCCGTAGTTTGGCCACCACTGCTTTAGAGGAAGACACTCGGACATTTTATTTTTATCTCATTTCTATAAAACGTCGTTATTTTTGTTTTGTTTTGAGGAAAATAAAGAAAAAAGAAATAAGATTTTTATTTAAACAAATATATTGTTTTTGAAATACCTACTAAACCCGAGCTAAGCTCGGTAACCAGCGTTATAGTAATGGTTGTAACTATTTAATCTCAATTTCATTTACAGGTACAATTGGTTCACATTTACAAGATGAATACAACCAATATTCGTTATACCATAAGAGGCCTTTAAGTCCTCGACCATTGGATACAATGGCAGATTTAACCAATGACCTTGGAATATGTGTTTTGCGGGTACCTATGTAGCAATTTAACACTTATATATTTATAAAACCGTGACGGTTCGCTAGCCGGGACGAAACTATTAATATAAAAAATCATCCTTACTCATAAATATAATAATAAAACTATTTACTTTTAATAAAGAATAAAGATTCCAAACAATGTCAATTAAAAAAATTCACATTTTTGGTGGAAATCAAGGCCAAATTCATTTTTAATAATATTTTAGTAAATTTCTCAATGTTACAATATATTATTAGTTTAACTATGTATATATATGACATTATTTCCCTGAAGTGAGCCACCCAAATTCAAAATTTGGTAGTTGGTACTGGTTTAGTTGACGCCCACCAAGAAAGTATCCTTTCAACGCTGAAGTGTAGTGGATAAAAGCCACCTAAATAATCTATATCGTATATTTTGGATATTCTAATTATACTTCAAAATATAAAATTAGGTAATTTAATTATTTTGTTGGATTTTATCATTGATTAAACTTATAAAGTATTAAACTATTAAAGTACCTACTTTTGTATTTATTAATTTATCATTATTATTTTAATTTTAAATTTATTAATTTATTATAATATACTAATGTATTTAAATATATTATTAAACTATATAAAGTATAAAATATACAGTATTATGATTAGAACATCGAAAATAGGAGAGATGTAAGTGATGGGCATCAACTAAACCAATACCTACCCAACATTTTTTATTTAAGTTTTCTTGCTTAAACTTGTATTTAGTATTGTATATAACCAATTTATTATTACAAATATTGAAATATGCAATATATACTTACAAGTAACTAACTTATTAGTTATTAAGAAAACTAGAATTAAAAATATTAAATCTGGTCAATAAACTTTACCGACACCTTGTCATTAATAAGTTATTGTTGTACACTTGTCATAATAATAGAAACATATAGGTCTATGACTTCTACAAAATTATTTTATTGATTGAAGATTTAAAAATGATGTATTGTTATAACTATAAAAGTGAAGTTTTAAAATTAAATCATTTTAAGTAATTTTAATATTATAAACATAATATATTTTGCTTCCTATTCTTATATTATTATGTTTACCTATAACTTTTTAAATGGTGCGAATGAATAAACTTCAATTAGTTCCACCGTTTAGCATCTTTAGATTAAAATAACTAAATAGGTATAGTTTAGTATTTTAGGTAAGATTTTATAGTATAACTGTATAAAATAGTATAATATAACATAGGTATATGATTGTTAAAAATCAAAATTCTCATAGAATCAGTAGGTACCTATGATGGTAATTGTGCCAATACGCATAGAAAAGTTTCAAAACGTATTTCAGTGTTTTATATACGTAAGGTATTTTATAGGTAATAGCTGCAGGTGGTGCAATTGGAAATATTGCATTTTCTCCTTTTGGTTTGATGGCAGTATCAGTTCTACTTTATGAAGGATCGAGTGGGTACTCTGCATTGCAAATTAAACAATCTCTTAATTTACCTTGGGAAATCCTTGCTGTCAGAATCGGAGTTCGAGATTTAAATCGTTACCTTAAAGTAAATAGTTGAATGGTAATGTTTGTAAAGGATAAAAATGTTAATTAACAGATAATATTTTGATGTTTTAGACATATTTCAAAAGTGATGGATTTTTGAATGGCCTAACTATGAGCAGAGAAGAAGTATGTCTCAGGCCACAATTCAAACGAGTACTACGACTGTACGGTTTTGACGACCCCAATAGTTTTCTTTTTGATTCGTGTCCTGAAAGTGCTACGACAACGATTCAACCACTGCAGCCTATGTCTGTTACTACACATGGTACTGTAGTGACGGAAATTATCCCAACTAGCCAAATAATTCAAGTTTCTACTAATATTACGAATGGGTCAGCTAGTGACATATCAACAGTGGCGACTGAACTTCCAGCCAAAGTAACTTACCTAGGTGATGCTAGTTTCACTATATCTAATATCGATACAAACACCAATTTACCTATGAATTCTCAAACAGTCACAATGGTCGTTGATATTGAAACACAACCTCACACCATGCCATTAGAATTATCAACTAATCAAGAAAAAACAACACTTCTTATCAACGAACAAGAACCAAAATCATCTAATGAAATAGAAGTGACCAATAAAAACCCAAACGAACAGTTAAAAACTGATGAAATCGTTTTAAGTACTACACCTATGACTTCTGACGATCCTATGATGGTGGCAGCTACGGTAACTCAAACGAACATAGATTATAAAAATGGTGCATTGAATTCACCAATCAAGAATATTATTGATACAACAAATAATAGTAAATCGCAAACTAGTCCTACAGACGTATTTACTACTACATGGTCACAGCATGAAAGTACAACCCATGGTTCATCCGACATAACTACTGCAGACGTATTTACAAGTGTTAACGATGAAATTGTTTCACCTAGTAACTCTTATGTTACTTATGCTAAAGACAGATCGGATATTACGGTAATAGCATCTACAGAAATCCCATTAAAAACTACTATTAATAGCGAAATAAACGAGGTAAACACCGCAATGGAAGATAAATATCTCTTTCTCGAAAACACCGTGGAAGGCATAATTACCACAACTAATGAATTCAAAATGGACATCGACGAAACGACTAAAATCATGGACGTCGGAAGTACATCACAAATGTTTTCGTCAACAAACCCTATATCTAATGAAGATAGTACAACTACGGAGATTGAAATGAATACTAATCTTCAAAAAATAACTGATCAAACAACGCCATACACGATTCCTGAATTAAATAACAATCAAGTAACAACAGTAAGTGAACATTTAATATCCTCAACAGATGTTCCATCGACAATAGTGAGTTCAAGTAACGTGACTGAAAATGAAATCATAAAAGAAGCGGAGTCCAATCACCATTATCAAATAGCTACTTTGGAAAAGAAGAGTGGGAGGTCTATAGAGTCTAATGATAATTTACCTACTTTTAATGTAGAGTTCGTAGTACGAAAAGAAGATGTACGAACCAATTGCAATCAAACAAGAAAAAGGACCATTATCAAACCGGATAGGATTTTGACGGAATATCCATCAAATTCAGGCGTTTCAATTACAATTAGGGGATCGAAGAAGCGAAGAAGAAGACATTTGAATCAGTGTAATTTTAAAAGCTTTAAGCATACAGTATATATTTAGGTAATATTCGAGTAAAATATTACATTAATATAACTTTTTAGATCAAGGATACAATACAAATCGAAATCAATGGTTTAATGGTTACAAGACTTACGGACCTCCATCTGGCTGGATGGACAGGTCATCCAATCCATTTGAGTCAATTAATTTGTTCAATTCTGGTTATCAACGTATCCCATTTTTTACTTATACAGCTGTATTGCCTTTTGGATTTATTTTCGAGCTAAAGTCACAAGTTATCGAGATACCTTTAGATGTACGTATACAATTATAAGTATTAATTTAAAATTTTGAGATTGCTATAATACTATGGTATGATAACCAAAAATACCCATTTAATTACATTTCATACTGATAACTAATAAGTATTGAGTATTGACTAATATCACAGAACAATTATTGAAAGCAACAATAGATCTAGCATTTATGTGTAGTTATCAGCTAAAGTACCTAATCTAACCTTTTTATTAACTGCTATTGCCAAGCCGAGGTTACATTTACGATTTAGTATCGCCATTGACACAATAATATTCTGTTGTCCTACATTCTGTATGGGAAAAATTGATCGTTGTGAGAAAATATATAATTTGCGAAGTGTTAAAGTTAAGACATTTGTAATTATATACGGAGTTCATATATTATGTCCATTCAAATTAATTTTGTAATTTCCTGTCACGATGGTCGTTCATGCAATAAAGCGTAAGATATAATAATTGTTATCATTAAGAGTTAGAACATACATGCAATGGCGTTTACAGACATTTTCAATTGGTATATGAGATATATTATATGCCTTTACACAACATTTTTCGCAACCATCAATAATAATAATAAAGACTCACCTTACATCTTATATATTTACTGATTATTTAATTTGAGTACCTACATAAGTAAATACTAATTACTGTTATTTTAAAATGGTTCGTATTTATAGTTAGTACCTAAATCGGGGCATCATAAATGCCCGCTAAATCACTATATTTTAGTATTTTCCCTTAAAATAAGTTGTATATTATATGTACTTATAATATAATATTCTTTTTTATAATAGTGTTATGTACATTGTACATACTTCACAGAACATTTTCGGGAGGAAGTGTTTAATGTGTTTTTTGTTAGTAGTAGGTACCAAGTTTTGAACTCCAATTTATGGCTATAAATTAATATATTTTTAGCAGCATTTTTCATATTATTGTGATTATATTTTATGCATACTTTTTTGCGATAGGTATAAAAGGTGATGAAAGGTCGAAGGGAATAATGGATACACCCACAGTTAAAGATATAATTATATCTTTAAACGTGGATAGGTACTCCATAAAATGTTTTTCCTGGTGGAAATAATGAGTTCTAAATACTGTATAGCCGCATAAGTACCTATAGTATATTGTTTGTTTATTTGTTGTATAATATGGATAAATAGGATCCAAAGTACACGTTGATGATACTTATGCCAAACCATCCGGATGGTCTATCCGAGCTGTTGCTGCTGTTGCCGTCCATGTCTTTGCGCAACATACACAATTCTCTAAAACCGACGGCCGTTCATGCCACCGTGCCTATGTTTAAATACACGGCAAAAGTGGATTTGACTTCAGCTTTACAACAGGTGATTGACCGCTGAGATCGAGATCGTTTTGATAAAAAAAAAACAAAACTTCTCGCTCTTAACATAATATTATGTACCTACATACTACATACATTATAATATACATTCGTTATTCGTACATATATATAACTATATAAGGAATTCGTACAATAAATTGAGGTACCTATATACGTTCATTACTCGGACAAGCAGACCGTGCAATTTAGTGTTGAGAGCGTAGTCTTCCTTAGTTCCTAAATCATCACAAGGTTCAAGGGCACAACTATAACTATAGGCGTCAAAGACCCACCAAGAAGACAGCAGTTTAATCATCGTTATTATTCCATTATTATATTACCTATTCGTTATTTATATAGGTACCACACGTCCCGCGTGTATGAAATAAATCGTATAAACTATAAACACAGGCAATACAGCTCGTACAGTCGTAAGTGTACATTTAAATACACAGTAGAGGACTGTCAAGGTTAAAGAAAATATGGTAGGTACACAGTCGCCTCATGTGGAAAAGTGAGGGGGAGGTCACTCGGAAAGCCCAAAAATATTTAAATAGATACAGAAAATAGTTCATGTATGTATTGTTATTCATTGTTATCAATAAGTTTTTTTGCGGGCCTATAAAATTGACAAGGACCTGCGGGTAGGTATGTCAGTTTAAAACTGATCATTATAATATAATATTACAATAGGTATTAGGCAATAGGCATACATAAGAAATATGGTGCTTAAAACTTGCGAACCTGCACCATATAACTCCCTCGTATATAAAAGTTACGTATATAGGTACATGATTCTGAAATTTATTGTTTTAAAATATTTCATATTCATGAAGGATAAAAAAAAATTTTAACCAAAAACTATCACTGAAAAAAAAGTTTATTTATTGGAACCAAAATATGGTAACAATAACTATGAAATTTAGTTGCCTCAGTGACAAAATAACCATTAGTTGTGTACACAAATGTAATTTTGTTGACTGTAAATCGTTAGATAAACCATATTACGTTGTTATCAGTACTATTCTTGATTCGTTTCTTGACAACTAAAATTATGTATAGGTGACTGAATTCATTCCGTTATATATACAAATTACAAAACATGTATTTAATACTATAGAAGTATAGAATATCATCCTACTATTTTATTATAGTCGAAAGTACAGTAATCACTAAACACCTATACTTAGTTAAGTGTTAATGAAAAATATTATAGAATAATTTCTTACATAGTACCTACATTATACAAATTACATTACATATAATAACTATCCATCTTATATATATATATATTATATATATATTTATAATACCTTCTTTATATCATGATTTGGAATTAAATATTGATAGTTAATAGTCATTAGTCAGGTACTCAGGTATGAAGTCAGTATGACCATCTAGTGATGATTGTTTAAAACATACCAAAAAACAGTTTAAAAAAAAAAATTTTAATATAAATTTTTCAATATTTCATTGAAATATTTCGAAAATGGAAAAAGTCTCAAGTTTAAAATATTTCAGTGATAATTTCATACTCATAACCCTACTTATATATAGGTACCCAAAATCTTCCAAATATTGCTCGTGAGAAGACCGAGCATTCTATTGACCTCCATTAAAATTTGTTGTTCAGCAGTAAACACATGAAGTTCTATACTGCACGTGTCTTATGGCCTATATATAGCCATATATAGGTAATAAGAGACAAGACTATCAATTAGAATCCAACAACGTCTTGTAGTCTTTTTTTCTATCACTCGACTTTTAAATACCTACGTATTGTACCTAGGTACGGTACTATCATTGAATGTTTAATTTAATTGTAAATATAAATAACGTGCCATAATAATCGCAACGTTTTTCTATTTGCAGGTCGGAATCCATGACGTGTTCTACAGGTACAGGGCGGACCTTTCGTTCATGTCACCGGACGCTCGGTTGTTCGTCAGTTCGGTCCAGCAAGTGGTATCCGTGACGGTGAAAAAGTACAACACGCCACCGGGTAAGTGGTCAGGGCCGAGGTGCGCTAATTCCCGTTTATATATAATATATCTATATAGATGTATATTGTATATAGAAAATAGTTTATTTTCACATGCAACCAAGCAGGTAATTGTTGTATGTATACAATATGTTATACTCGTTATATAGTCATCTGCTAAATTCTGCTTGATTGTATATTTGTATTACTTATACATATTATGCGTTTAACGAGACGTTTTCATTTACGAATGGACATAATAATATAATATACCTTCTGTGTGACTGTGTACATAATGTTATAACTTATAACACTTATAGATTACATTATATATTTATATACCTGTAACACGCGTAGGAACGCAAACAGTGACCATGAAAAATCGTATTTATTCGCCACCCGTTTGAAATCGGATTCGCGGACGCGGGTGTCCACTGTTGCAGTGATCGGAGATCACCAAAAAAACTCTCCACCGCGGCTAATCGCCGCTGTCCTTCGGCCACCGCGACGTTGTATATTATATTAAACTACCAACTATCGGTCTATTGCTATGAGTCATACTATAGTCTATACCTAGTACATTAGTACTTACATAATAAATTGTATTATAGGTTCTATATTATAATACATAACCTGATAACCACCTAGAGTAGTTAGTAGGTACCTACCTACCTAATATATTATAGCCCCGTTGACCGTTGTTGAGAGCCTAATGAGTAATGGTTATTATAGTTTATTATTTAAATAGGCTGTAATAAATCATATAACTACTGCTTCAGTCTTCAGATATTCTACCTACAAATTTGAAATTACAATGCATCACGAGATCCTTAGATTTCGACTCCTTAGTCTTTTTCGTATATATATTGTACAGACATTTGTAGAAAATAATTTACATAGATTTACCTATACTTATAGTACGTATAATTATTTATAATGCTATACAAATGTCTTTCGATCGGTAAAGGTTATATAAACTATTAAATAGATTAAAGGTAGACCAGTGGCGCAACTAGAAAAAAAATTCAGGGGGGGGGGGGGTACAACCCCTAAACCACCCCCTGGTTGTGCCACTGAGGTAGACAGCGGTAGTTATAATTAATATGCTATCTATTAATCCCGATTAATTATTATAATATCCACTACAGTCTAGTCAGTATTCCGAAAATTGTTAAGTATTACTCAGAATAACTATTTAGAATATTTTTAAAAGTATTTTATTCCAATAAGAAAATACTTTTTACTTACAATATTAATTTCTTGTTTTCCTTGTTTTTTTGGAAATTTTTACAATATTACGCACATTTTAAAATTTTAAATCAAGTATAAACAACTTAAAGTATAATGTATTTTGAATTATTCAATTATATATTATAAAGTATCATTGGTTTAATATTTAAAACAAAAACTAAAACATATGTTAAAAGTATTCCAAATACTTTTAAACAGGCACGTATAGAGGGGGGTTTGGGGGTTCAATAGTTGTGTACTTATGTATATCAATCATCGATAACGACAAGATGATAAGTATATCTATATCTTTGCTCTTTATATTGCTCTTATTTACTATGGAATCAGGTCAACGAACACATTTTTGGCGTTGATCCAAAACATGAAATATGCTCATATACAAATATGATATTGCTGCATGTGCAGTATGCGTCGATTATTGAACAGCGTGCCGGTATAGATAGGTGTATATTATTGTATTAATGTATTATACTGTATATCTATATAGGCGCGTGTAAGTACGCTATTTTATGTCATAGCCTGTGGTCATAAGAATATAATATAATACGACTATTATTACATGTATTTTATATATAATATATACGGTATACCTATATATATACATGCATTCGACGACGTGTCCATACATATACCTACAACATTTTCTTCTCGGTTGATCGGTAAACCGAAACGAAGTAAACACACATTGTCCTCATATGCGACATGCAATTATTAGTCTTGAGCAAGCAATCGATCGGATCGATTTTTTTCACAAAAAAAAACAGAGTTCAAACGTTATATTAATATGTAGATACGTCATACCTACATATTATATTGCGTCATTCACGCAGTTTCATGTACTTAAAGACTTTGTCCTTTATATAAGTATAACGTATAAAATATAAATACCTACATATTATATTTGTAAAATAGGTACATATTAATATATTATTAATACATTTATTTGGTTTGCCTAACACCTAATATTTATAGTGATGTAGTAGACTAGTAGCATGTAGGTATTTGTTAAGTCACTATGTCCATATATTATATAATATATTAATATTTAATCACAAGTGCATTATAGATAGCTTATAGCCGAAAATCGAAATATAACCTATACGGTACCTATATCGAATTTATAGCAGTACCTACTCAATATATTTTATTTGGACATTTATCTATTTGACTATATAGGTATCCAGCTAAATACTTATTACTTAATCATATAATATTATATAATTGGTAATTGTATCTTACCTATATATTATTATTTATTTATTTCATATATACATGATTACATGAATACAGAGCCCCACTGAGATGACTCGTGTGGGGGCCAATTATACTATACGTTCATCTAAGATATAAGACTCTAAGGAGTTAACTACCCAACAATATATTGTTGATGCTTTGTATAAAATTAGTTAAATAATCTGGTATAATATAAAGGGCTAAACCCAACTTGTAGGGCTGTACTCAATATTTATAAATTATAATGGAAACACTTATAAGAACAAGGACCAATTCCATATTTTCATGTCGTTTTCAAGAGATGACTAAAAATTGACAGTTGTTATAGAATACTAGAACTAAATTTTTTTATTGATACAATTATTCTATACCTTAAGATGATAACCAACATAGAAATTCAAAAACAAATGTTATATACTTTTATTATTGGCTATTATAGACGAATTTATAGAATAGTGATATTAGGCTCTTTGGCGTATTTTTTGTTGAAGCCTAGTTTTAAAATAATGGGTACTTATATAACTACTTTTATAAAATAAAATATACCTATAATAAATTATATAGGTACATAAATACTTTAATTCATAAATTTAATATTGATTTGGATAACTACCACATACTTATGCCGTAAATCGTAATATTAGACCCATCTAATATTATAAAAACCATTGACCCGAAGGCTGAAACACAAAACAGTAAAAACCGTGTAGAGACTAGAAAGGAAATCTGACCCTATAGTCTGTACTAGCCAGTAGCCTCACATGTAGACGGTAATGTCTGTCATCACGATTTATAACAGATGAGTAGGTATTTCAGGTATTTGTTCCAATAATCATCATCGAGGCAATGGCCTTCAATTGAAGGTATTTTATTTTAGAAATGTTCATATAGTTTGTACACAGAGGTAAACAAATAGCGAATTCGCAGTACTTTCTTCATTAACAATTGTCAATTAAATAATTATTGGAAAAAAACGGGAATATTAACTACACATCACATGCGGCTTCGACAAATAGGATTTTGTTTGTTCTGTTTAAAATCCAAAAAGGTATAACCGTAGAAGCGAGTTCCTAGGTTTTTTAATTAATATAAATAATATAATATAAATATAATTGTTGCTAGATAGGTAAGCAGTACATGGAAAATTCAAAATAGATTTAAGTTTTCTAAGAAAATATTCAATAGGTAATACTAGGTATAAAACTACTCTATACTCATTCAAAATAAAAAAAAACCAATTTCTTTTCGCTCAGGCGGAGCATGGTGGAAACGTTGTGACAATACAGTTCATTTTAGTTCTACAGTTTCACGTCACTAAACACCACGGCGAACTGTATTGTCACAACGTTTATACCATACCCCGAGTGCTTAAAAAAAAAGTATGTCTTTTTATTTGGAACAGAGTATGAGGAAAATACTACAATTATTTTTGTTGTTTGTATATTTTTTTGGTTGAGGGGGGGGGGGGGAATCGGGGCTCTAGCCCATTTTATTTCCGACAACGGATGGTAATGTTGTATACTGACGTATAGATGAAGTTGCCTTAAAAATGTAAAAAACGATCCAAACGATTGCCGCTGAAGTACATGACCGTTCGCTGTCTTTTAATTTAGATGTTGCTGGGGCGAAAAGTTTGTTAGAAAATCGGGTCGTCGACAGATATGTCCGACAATCGTTAATTTCTATCAATATTTTATTCGTATGTTTATATAAAAAATCCAACAATTCGACAAGCAAAAAACGTCCTTAAAGGCAATTATGCACGATAGGTAGATGATTAAACAATTTAAGTATTGGACATTGCCGTATCTATACATTATGTACGATACGCCGATACATCATACACACGGAAGGTAATGCGATAGTTTTTTTTTGATCATCTGAGGCCACGGTTAAAGCACCGTGAAAAATATCAGTTGTCTAGACCATTGTTTTTCGATAGCATCGCCCCCCCCCTTTTCTGGACATAGGTAGCAGTAGCCAGTAGGTACCTATTTCAGAGCTCAGGCCTTAGGTGGGCTTCGAGACCTATACTGCCCTTCTATATCCAACACGTTTAACTATGTGAAACCAAAAAAATAACGGGCCAAAAAAAAAATTGATGCTGCTTAATGACAATAATTGTTGAAATTATATGATTAGTATATAGTTTTAAGAATATACCCATGTTAACAAATTTCCATTAATATTTTTAAAAATTCTAAAAAATAAACTACTACTTAGATAAATGTTTTTACCACCCAAATCGTTTTTATTATTAGATTCACAAATTGGCTAATTAGAATCAATTTAAAAAAAAAAAATAAATAATACGAGTGTTACTGCTGGGTAGTTACTCCCCTCACGATTTCTTAGTCAACTTGTACATTTCCGCTCATATGCTTATTGTAACTATTACAGATTGTATATATTCTTAATAAATGTTAAAAAAAAAAGTTAAAATAAACATTTTTTATTTTCAGTATTATTATACATAAGAAAAAAAATTTAAAAATAATGATTAGTTATTCCAAAATTCAGTTCTTTCTGTTACACCATGTATAGTGCAATTATGTAGTATAGTTATATTATAACTTGCATAGTATTAACTATACAATCCTACATTTGGACGCCCCTTGATGATCTCATATAACAATAATGAAAAAATCAAATATTTAAAGTTTATTCTTTTTTAATTTTGTTGTATTTAAATACTACGATAAGTCTTATATTCTTATATTATAATATTATGTAGCAGTCAGTTTATTTTTTTACACGAACAGTAAGTTATAGCCTGAAAACCAATTTTGAAAGATAAAATCAACACATGAATTTTGGTATGCACATAATATCTTGATAAATACATTAAATCATATATCCATGCTTATTCATTTTCTTAAATTTTGTTATTAACAATTCTTTTGCAATATTTTTCAGTTTATGAAATCCAACGCAAATATGTGGAACATGATTTTGTTGTGTCAAAACCATTTGTCTATTTTGTGATGGACATACATACCAAAGTCAGTCTTATAGCTGGAGTCATCACTGATCCGCTAGCATCACCAATTTGGATTTAATATTATCGGAATTTAATATTGTGCATCTTGCATTAATATTTTTTATAAGCTAAGGTTTAACAGTGTTGTTTTGTAAAAATAAAATTGTAAAAACTAGTTGTGTCAAAAAACATTTGTTATTTAATAATGTCAGAACAACATGAACATCATTACAAAATAACATTTATTTATTTGCCTTTCTTGGCCTTGATCTTCCTGTGGTAAAATTCCAATTCTTTGCCTTCTAAGATGTAACCATCAGCACGTCCACATTGACCAGGTCTGCTTCCCAAGCATGCTAAATAATAAATACAAAAATTAATTTTAATAAAATACAAAGGTGTGTCTAGAATTTATTCACAGATGTGGCCAGTGAAAATGTCATGGTAACCTATAAAGTCAGCCTCGATAAAAAACATCCAAAATATTTTTCTAGAAATTGTTGTATCCCTAGAAAAATCTCTTAAATTAATACATGCTTATTCCTTAACTCTTTATATGAACACAAAAATATATTCAGTCCCACGAGAGAATTGAAACCAGGTCCCCTATTGAAAAGGTTTTTGGTTGTGTAGAAACACCGACTTTGGTTGGGGCGCAGTATGTTCTCTCATGGGACAGAGTAAAATTAATTGTTGCCAAATAAACTATAAGCGTCGAAGATAAGTAGCTTATAGAACCCTAAAAAATTAACTCGTCCACACACTGCATAATTATTTTACCGTTATTCTCAACTCAAAATTCTGTGAGAAGTTGATTTTGCAGGTATTGCCACAAACACGCCTATGATAAACTATAACACATTTTAACCCTTCAAAGCAAATACTCAGAAGAAAATGATTCACATTTCATATAAAAATCATATTAACGAGATTTCTTAAACATCATAGTATTGCATTATATTCATAAATAGTGTTGTTTTGGACAATTATTTATAATATTGTGAATGGAAGTCTTGTACATAAATATGGTTCAGGGTAACTATGAAAACATCATAAGACAGGATACATTACACTATCTTAAACTTACAATTTGTCATCATAACATTTATGTAAAGTACTTAATGTAAATATTATAAAAAACGCTCAGTGTAACTATGACAAAAAATGTTCATATTATTGACTGATATTAATCAAAACGATTAATATCAAAAATTTCAATATCACCATTATAAGCTTAAAAATCATCATGGCGTTTGAATATTTTTCTCTTTAGTACATTATTAGTAATTTACAGGCACTTACCTAATAGACGAGAGGTTTGGAACTGTTCATCAATTGAAGCTTCAACTTTGGCAAAACGTTGCCTTTTCTTGTATTTAACTTCAGCCTTTGTTGATCGTTTCTTATTCAATACAGCATCTTCAGCTTCAGTCTGTAAATAATTTAAGAAATACAATTAAGATACTAATTTATAATATTAATAGATTGAAAAAGTAGTTTACAAAAGACTTTTTTAACAAACAATGTATGAAGTAATAATTATTAACTTATTAAGAATGAGGCTAACTCTGATGATGAAAATATGGTAAATAAATATAATAATCCATAATAAAATTAAAGTATTCTTAAAAAAAAGGTTTTTATGAATTAGGCAATTTCAATCAGGAAGATTTCTAAAGCTTTCTTTTTACACTTAAACATCAGAGCGCTGCGGAATAAGTATGTCCTCACGATTATTATCAGGAACCGAAATATTACTCATCATTTGGATTTAAATGTTGTCTTATAATATAGATAATTATGTAATAAAAATAATCTAATTCTTACACATTTGTTATTTAAAGTAACCTACACATTTTGTATAGGTCATAGGATATACACATTTCTGCTCTCAGCTAGTACACGGTCATCAATATTCAGACGGCAATTCCTATCAGAAAGGTTCATCATAGCAGATTCTTGTTTCCAAACTTAACATACATCAGAGCGCTGCGGAATAAGTTATGTCCTCATTTGATTATATCAGGAACCGAAATAATACTCATCATTTGAATTAAAATGTTTTATTATATAATAATATTTTATTAATTCTCTACTAAGTATAATTTATACTTATAAATATATAATTTATTGGTTATCTATATATAGCTGCTCTCAGCTAGTACACGGTCATCAATATTCAGACGGCAATTCCTATCAGAAAGGTTCATCATAGCAGATATATTTTTTCAAACCTAACATCAGAGCGCTGCGGAATAAGTTATGTCCTCATATGATTATATCAGGAACCGAAATAATACTCATCATTTGAATTTAAATGTTATATTATATACTAATATAACTGAAATAATATAATAGTTACAAAATTTGAATACCATATTCATATTTCTGCTCTCAGCTAGAACACGGTCATCAATAATCAGACGGCAATTCCTATCAGAAAGGTTCATCATAGCAGATATATTTTTGTTCAAACCTAACATCAGAGCGCTGCGGAATAAATTATGTCCTCATATGATTATATCAGGAACCGAAATACTACTCATCATTTGAATAAAAATGTCATATTATAAAATAATTTATGTACAATTATAACAGAAATAATATAATTCTTAAGAGTTACCTACAAATTTCTATAGCTTATTATTCACAATTCTGCTTTCAGCTAGAACACGGTCATCAATTATCAGACGGCAATTCCTATCAGAAAGGTTCATCATAGCAGATTAATTTTTTTAAATTTAACATCAGAGCGCTGCGGAATAAAAAATGTCATCATAAGAAAACATCAGGAACCGATAAATTACTCATCATTTTAATTAAATATATTATATACATGAAAAAGGAACTGTGCTCTCAGATAGTACACGGTCATCAGTTAATCAGACGGCAATTCCTATCAATAATGAAGGTTCATCATAGCAGATTAATTTTTTTAAATTCAACATCAGAGCGCTGCGGAATAAAAAATGTCATCATAAGAAAACATCAGGAACCGATAAATTACTCATCATTTTAATTAAATATATTATATACATGAAAAAGGAACTGAGCTCTCAGATAGTACACGGTCATCAGTTAGTCAGACGGCAATTCCTATCAATAATGAAGGTTCATCATAGAGCAATATAAATTGTATTTTTTTTTAAATTATATCAGTAAGTTATCATTTTTTTTAATTTAATAATAAGTAAATACATACTAATTTTGTAGTCTTCCTTCTGCCAATAGGCAAAGCGTAATGGCCTTCATACCATTGACGGAATGGTGTTGCGTCGATTACAACAATAGCGTTCTTAACCAAAGTTTTGGTTCTGACCAACTCATTGTTTGATGCATTGTAGATAACATCAATGATACGAGTTTTAGCAGAAATACCTAGAGTAAATAAGTATTTAATTTTAAAAAAAATTTATACAATTTTATTTCAAGTTGTAACATACCTTCAGAACCCCATGCAAAATTTCCTTGATCTAATCTTAATGCTCTGTATTTCTTGTTACCTCCCCTAGTACGAACAATGTGTACACGACGGGCTCCAAGCTAAAAATAATTAAGAGTACTATAAATAAAAGTGATAAATAATATTAATACTATTCAAACTGAGCATAGCTAATAAAATATATTGACATTTTAGCGTAAAGGGGCCTATTCAGGATATTAATAAGCGGATATATTTGCTAATATCATAGTTTAATTTATCATTATAAATAGGACATAATACAAAATAAGTAAAAGTTATATTTTTCAATATTATTATAATAGAACAGTATTATCAGACAAAAACGTTTCGGTCTATTTCAGGATATTAATAAGCGGATAGATTAAATTAATCATTAATTCTTCAGTATAACTAATCTCATCATAAATAGACAAAAATTGACTTTAGTTACAGCTCAATAAAATTTGGAATTAAAAAAAGATTCCAAGAAAATAAATTAAAATTATTATATAATTTATTTAATTACCTATTCATTACAAAATTTAAAATAAATAAATACAATTTTTTTAGGATATATTAGGTATAGGTATTACAATCTATTATTAATTTCATAGGTAATACTTAATTTTGTACAGACTATTTTCTCAGCAAATATATATAATTTTATTTAACAAAAAAAGAATAATATCATCAAGGCAAAACCTATACAGTCTATTTCAGGATATTAATAAGCGGATAGATTAAATAATCATTAATTCTTCAGTATAACTAATCTCATCATAAATAGACAAAAATTGACTTCTGTTACACCTAAATAAATTTGGAATTAAAAAGTACCTAATTCTTAGAAATAGGTATATTAGAAGATCTCAAATAACATATGTTTATGAGAAAATAATATAAACTGCGTAAAGATATTATTTAGAGATCTGGAATCAAGTACATATCAGAACGTTAGAGGTGAAAAATAGTAAATATCGTCATTTATTATTCAGTTAAACGTCTCATCATATTATGTGCATTTTTGTATGAATATAAATTTGATTATTTGCAGACAGAAAATCAGAACGTTAGAGGTGAAAAATAGTAAATAATATCTTCATTGATATTCGGATAAGTCTTATCATAAAACTTCAGTCATTAAGAGGATGTGATACCCGCATGTGTTGCCTCCGTCTTACAATTCCATAGCAAATTCTACTCAAAGCAGAACACGTGTAGCTCCGTTGGTTTAAAAATTAGAGTGAATTTACCTCTTATAAAATCTAAAGGTAAGATTATTATCTAGACAACCTCCCGGGCTTTTAATTATATTTTAATTTTTAAGCGGATATCACGTCCTCTCAAATCAAAGGTACGTATAATTACTGTTGAATATTTCTAACAATTAATTCAATTTAACTAATTTAAATTAAAACTAAAATACCTACAGTCTATTTCAGAATATTAATAAGCGGATAGATTAAACTAATCATTAGTTCTTCATACTAATAAATCTCATCATAAATAGGCAAAAATCAACTTTAGTTGCAACTCATTAATATTAGGAATTAAAAACAAATTTCTAGAAGACAATGCCAATGGTCTTAAATTACATTTTGTCAATGAAAAAATATAAATTGTATGGAATCTTTAAAATAAATATTACAGAAATTCAGAACGTTAGAGGTGAAAATAATAAATAATATCTTCATTAATATTCGGATACAAGTCTCATCATCTATACTCCAGTAAGTAGAAGCAAAGGTACGTAAAAAATACTATATTTAGCATGGATCATAAATACAGCAAATCAGAACGTTAGAGGTGAAAAATATTAAATATATCTTCAAAAATATTCAGACTTAAGTGTCTCATCATAAATGCTGGAATTTATTTACTCTCCATACTTAGGCCCAAAAAATTATTTCGTAGGTTGATAGTATGATAACCATAATATAAAAGTACATCGAACATGGATTAAATAAAGCATATCAGAACGTTAGAGGTGAAATATAAATAATGAATATCGTCATTATATCGTCGTATTCAGTCATTTGTCTCATCATCAATGCTATTTAAATATGTATCGAAATGAAATATTTTCAACATGAATTGATTGATTTACGGTGAGCAAACCAAAGTAATCTGCGTATCAGATGTTTGCGGACACGCATATTAATTAATATTTAGCACAAATTTCATACCTTGGTGTTGGCGGCTGGGCGACCTAACTCATACTTCCTCTTCTTGCGGAGGGGCTTGCGCTTGCCTCCGGTCTTCCTGCGTTTGTGCCATGTATCACGGGATATACCTTTAAACGAAAAACGTTGACGTTATTAGGGTGCACGAGTACCTACTACATAACTACTGCAAGTAATAACGTTAGATAAATTAAATTATGTGCGCGAGACGCCGGTGACCCGATCAAAACGAGAAAAAACGGCTGCCATCGACGCGACATTAATCGAATAAGTGTAGTCCAAAAGTGTAGATGAAATATCTAAGCGGATGTAAACGGATAAAAATTACTTACCCATCTTGAGTCTCTGACGTTAGTGTAACACGACGGGAAAAACGAAAAGAATGGCTTGGTCGACTTACAGAATGTAAACAAACTGCACGACGACTGAAAGGAATACAGACATACAGGTTATGTCTGACCGCGGTATAAGTGGGAGGGGCGAAATGTTTAACCGAGCGTTACCATTACGGTTTTTGACAATGAATTCAGGAAACGTTCTTTGGTAAAATTGGAAATGTGCAATTTACAGCGTCGGCGACCATAATATAATTTTTTTTAATTCACAAAAAACTTGAAATTCCAAACTTTTATATTTTATTAACATTTATTATCCCACGAAAATCTAACGAAATCAGTAAATCGCCGATGTTTGAGGTTAAGACACGACGATCATGTGCAATTACCGAAAACGTTACGTACTTCATGTACGGGTTTCTGAAACGGAATACACCATATGTAGTATATACATATCTATGGAAAACATGACACGGTGTGTACCTTAACCTGCAGCCTGCTGATATGCCATATACTATATATATATATAATTTATTAGTATTGTAACAAATAACAATAATACGATATTACGATAGCACAATAATTATTATTTCCTTGTGTGATTATTAATTGTGCAAATACAAATAATTACCGAGCTCAGCACGTTGACGGTCACCCAATTTCCTTTGCACGTTGTATAGAAATTAGTAATTGACAATTGTCAGTTGTCTGTCACTGTCCGTCCCGTTCCGTAATCGTGAATGATTTTGGAAAGTTTGGCGATTCTTGACTAGCGTACAGATATTTATGTGTTGATTTAAAATGCCTGTAAGTACCTATATTGAAATAAAAATGTTCAAGCCCTTTTAAAGTAATGCATTTTGTTGAGTAACGTTGTTTATTAGCAGTTAATCCACAGTCGACTTATTAATATTATGTTCTATTAGTATTGAAATATATTATGTTATTGAATAATAGTACTTTTTGTTCCATTCGGTTTGAGTTTAACAGTTAAGAGCACCATGATATTGAATTCATACAGTACCTATTAACAGTTACTTGACAGTTAAAACATAGTATAAAGTATAATAAATCTTATTTCTAATGCTAATAATTAGCTCAAATTCATTCACGATACACACTACTGTTTGGTTATAAGTGTACAATTTTAACATAAGTTAGTGAATCATAGATAATGTTAACACTTGAGTAGTTATATTTTTCCTTTCTTTTTAAATCACTAATCAAATGTCTTTGCTAGAGCTGGTTTCTATGAGAAAAGTCGATAACCTAACATAGGTATCATACCCGGACTTCATTGGCTGGGTATGCAATAAAAACAAAATGAGCCCTTTCGTCTGAAAAAGAAAATGTGGAGCAATAAATATTATTTATATTTGAATGTATCTATCAGTTTTTTTAGTAAATTTTGATAATATATATTTATGAGCTATAATGTTAAAGACGTCATTATATCAGTTTAAGGATTTTGAACTAATTTAACTTTTCTGTAACCTGTTCAATATCTATTTCCTAGTCAAATTTTTTAAAATGTAATTACAAGTTTATTAATGAAAAAAATACTTTTTAAGGGTATATATATATAAGCCCTAACTTTCTTGGAGTATGTGGAATAATATTCTGTATACCCTCTTCTATGATGGATTTGTATACAAATCAATAATTATAATTTATTTATTTACCAAGCAATTGTTAACATTACCTATGATAGGTTGATCACGTACCTATTTTGATCTGGTGTATACTTTATAAAGATTCGTAAATTTACATTCTATGATTCTTTTTCATGTAGAAAGATTGTAATAAAATGTATTTATTTAGTTAGCAAAAAGTATTCTTCATCCATCTGCTGTAGAAGACTTACGTAGCCACAAATTGAAGCGGCTTGTACCTCGTCCAAATTCATATTTTATGGATATCAAGTGTCCAGGTAATATGATTTAATTTAATTATGTTTTACTTAAATGAAATTTCTTATGTATTTTTATAAATATATTTCTAGGTTGCTACAAGATTAAAACCGTTTTTAGTCATGTTCAAGATAGAGTGAGATGTGACGGTTGTCTAATAGTACTTTGCAGACCAACTGGAGGCAAAGGAAAATTGTCCGATGGTAATTAATTTAATAATTAAATAATAATTTAATTACTTTAATTCATTAAATGTTTCATGTATGCAAAAAAAAAAATATTTAATCTGTTAGTTTGTACTATTATCTTTGCACTGTATCTAGATGCTAGACCATGGTAGGTAAAATAAGGTACACCCAGACCAGTGTCAACACTTACATCCACTAATTAACAGAATATAATTACGTACTATTTTGGCATGTACGATATATGTCTTATATATAATAAAAAAATACTATTCCATTAAGTAAATATAAAATTATGCGTATATACCACAACTTTTGATATATAAAATCTTTAACAAATATTTTTTTCAAAAAAACTACAGAATTCTCTATTACATTTTCATCCTTTTTATCTGATAAAACAAATTTTACCAACATAATATTACACGATAAAACTAAAAATTCAAAAATGTAATTTTGTTTAAAAATTATAGCATTTAATTAACAGTGAAATGTTTAATTTTCTACTTTTTTTTACTTACATGATAATAATGAAATTAATGCTAAAAATATCACCGTTGCCACAATATCAAATTGTTCAAATTTTAAAATATTCAACTCAGTGGCGGCTCGTGAGGTTCACGTAAAGTGGTGCACAAAAAATGTATAAGATATCTATGTTAGATGGTAAAAAAATTTATTTTGGTATAGGTACATACCACGAATAATACCAAAATAATGTACCTACTTATCTTATCTAAATTAAATTTTTTTAAGCATTTTACCCCATTAAAATATAAATTAAATTATAAAAAATTATCAACTTATTATGTATGAATATAAACACAAATACACAATATCGTTGTAATTATAATTTATTATTAGAGGCTAGAGCTATACAATTACAACAAATTACAATTATTATTATATGAAATTAATCAGTTACATTTTTAAAAACTAAATCTATACGTCTGTCTTTTTTTTTGTATAAACACTTCAATAACTTCTTCGTTAAAATTAGACATTTCATTTATTTATTTTATTTATAATAAGTCTATGGATTTATAGTAGTTATTAGTTGATTTGACTGCTGCAGTGCTGCACACTGGCGGCAGTTGATGGATACTGTACAATGATGCGTTATCGTTTCGACGAATGACACGATATCGCGATTAGCGCGACAATAAAATAGGATCGGTGCACACATTAAATGTGCTCCAAATTGCCATGTATTACCGGTCGGCGTGTCGAGGCATGTAGCTAATTTTTATACATCCGCCCGGAGCACAAACAACTTGTGCTCCGCGATATTATTTAATCGTTTATAAATATATTTCTTAACATAAAAGCTGCAAAAACTTGTTTTTATTAATATAAATATTTATATTTTTTTTAATTACAGACCATTTGCATAATCATCAATTATATTATGTTATTTATGGCATATAATAATTTTTTAATATAATTTTTTGGGTGGTTCACGTGCTCCTGTGCACCATACCACGAGCCGCCACTGATTCAACTACTTAAACGTAGGTTAGATGGTTATTTCAATGTGGTTAATAATGATAGGTAAAATTGTTTTACCGAAACAATAGTGTTTAATATGGTGAATAAAAAGTAAATTCTGAACATGGACCACACAGAATACGGTGACAGTGTAATTGTACCTTATATTCTTTACAATGATTATGAAATATGGTTTATTATAATATAATATATAAAATATCCTATGGTAAAATGCCGTATAAATGTTGGTCAAGATTGTTTTTCTCTGCAAAAAGATTGAAAATCAGAAAATGTAATGCATTGTTTTAAAAAAAAAAAATATTAATTATTTAATATTTAGTATTTATTAAATATATAATATACTATACTAGCATAATATAATAATATAATCTAAGACTATATAGTATATCATACAAAATAATAATTTGTGTATTTAAGTTTTTTACACTGGTCGGGCAATACATTAGTTTACAAACCATGGTCAGGCGTATATTATTTTATCTACTATAGTCAGGCATTGAGACACAGTGTTATTTTTAAGAGAATAATAGTGCAATGTTTGTTTTCTCTTTGATGGGTACTTAAAACTTGAATGGGGTTTATCTGTGTTTATATATTCGGTTTTAATGATATTTCAATTTTTTGCAATATGAGAGCATTTTTAAATTGTAATATCTTACATGCTCAGCTTTCAATAAACATTGAAATATCAATTCAATGTGCAAACACTGATAGCATTAGTCATTTTTAGTTGTACTTATATTAAAGCATTAAAGTATAAGATTGAGTCTGTTGAAATGCAAATTTGGTATATTAGCTTTGCATTGGCCATAGAGAGAAAACAAATAATGTGCAACAGCTCTGAGTCCTGACATCTTCTTAAATATAAATTATTGATGACTAATGAACCTTTATTTTATTTTTCAGGATGTTCATATCGAAAAAAACACTAAAGAACTATTTGTTTTTCATTCAAAATTAATATTAAATTGATTGATATTTTCATAATTAAAATTATATTTTATTAACATTATCTTGTGTATTTTTATTTTTTTAGTTACTGATTTTAATACAAAATCAGGCCCGGATGAACTGGTGAGATAGGTACCGAGGAAATCTTGGTAGGCCTAACTCTAAATCTGGGCTTGTATAAAGACTCACTATTAATTATAAATAGTATTATTATAAAATAAATAATATTCATTATTAGTTGTGTATCTATTAAGGTACTTATTGTATATCGTTATTACTTATTATAATATAATAATTTTTAATAATATATTACTTATTTATAATATTTTTTAATAATACATAATACACCTTTAACACACTTTCTATTTAAAATAACTTTTGTTATTAAAACCACTTTTAAATCATTCACTACTAAACTACTTACAAGAATATAATATTGCTGTTGAGTTACAAAAATGGTAGAGTGCATGCAGCAATTGCATAAAAATATAAAATGGGTGACAAAAACGGTAGAGCGCATACAATAAGATACCCAAAAATAAAACACTATTAAAGACCAAGACACAAAATAAAAAATAAGCTGCTCCGCTGTTTAGTAGGTATTAAGTGTATGTAAGTAGATCAGTTTAATTGATGTGCTAAATTTGAATTCAATTGTAAATAATTCAAAATGATTTTGAGCTTCGACTGTTTATAATGATTTAAGAATTAAGATTATGTTATATTTATATTGCTATTAGTTAATACTCAAAGACAATTATTTATAGTAATTAAGTAGGTTGGACTAGATTTTGTAAAACAACAATTTTGTTATATTATTTCATTAAGTCAATCCGGAAAACGGTATGAATGGGTTTCATAATGAAAATAGCATACAATTTTTAATTAATCTAAATATTTTGAAAATAACATTGTGTATAGAAAATGATAATTTAAGTACTTAACAGGACGCAACACCACAGATATTTGTTGTCTTACAAGTGCGTAACATAGCAAATTTACTCTCAACAGATCGCGTTAGCTCTGTTAGTTTAAAAATTTGAGTGAATTGACTTATAATGAAACTTAATGATGTGAAACATAATCTGTGTTTGTATGTGGGTTTTTTACGATTGTTGTACGCAAGTTAAGCTTATATAAAATAACGTAAATTAAAAATGGGCAAAACTATCACTTAAAAGCTCAATTATCGGAAAAAACCCACATACAAACACAGACAATGTTTCACATCATTAAGTTTCATTATAAGTCGATTCACTCAAATTTTTAAACTAATGGAGCTAACGTGATCTGTTGAGCGTAAATTTGCTATGGTACGCACTTGTAAGACGGAGACAACAAATGGCCACGTAGAGTCCTCTTAATAGTTAATAAAGAATATTTCAAAATCGTACAATTAATATAATTTTAATAATAACAAAATTGTTATTGTATACTTTTAAACATCCAATGTCTTGAAAATAGCTAACAAAAAACTCCATTAAACTTTTATTTTCACTAAAAATGACCTATGAGAATCTTATGATACATTTTTAAACCTTTTTAACTACAAAATAATATTCATACAATCATATTATACTGATGTAATTTCGATTAATTTAATAATCTATAAAAAAAACTAACTAAATTGTATTTTGAAAATGTTTTAATTGAGTTAGAACAACTTATAAAAAACCTCGTATTACATTTTCAAACTCTTGGTCTATTACTCAAACAAAAAAAAAAATAACATCGAAAAATCGAAAAATAAAAGTGGGTAAGTGGCTAACGCTCTGCTGCACATTATAGATGCCTTGAGAAGACTCTGTAAATAATGTGTCAAATTTGAATGACAGTAAAACCATGAAATTTTCACTGGTTGCTTATATAAGCAATTTTCAAAATATTTTTATGTGTTTTGAATTGTTTACGAACATATTTTGCAGTTTCTAATTTTTTTAGTTTTTTTTCTATGAATGCCAATAAAATTTTATTTGTTGGGTAAAAAAGTTTGAAAATTTGATACAGAGCTCTTAATATATGTATAATGACATTTGATAAATATTAAAAATCTATAGCCACAATTTTTTTTTATAATCATTTAAAGTTCAAATGTTGACAAAACACGTAAAAATCACGAAAATTTGCTAACTATTTTGAGTTAGAAATTCGTAAAAATTGTTCTTTTTAAATCTATAAGATTTAAATATTTAATACAAGATTTATTATAAGTTTGTCTACCTATATCAACAAAAAAATCTCTACCGAAAAATCGAATTAAATTCTTATGAGTGTTTGAAGTTTAAATTTTTACAACCTTGGATATTTATTCACTCGATTTCTCATGTAGCGATTTTGTTAAAAACGAATAACTGTAAAAACATGAAAATTTGACTGAATGTTTAAATTCTCATTTTCTATACACCATAAAATCGGCCCCGATTTTTTTCAGGTAAAAATGATTTAGGTGTAAAAACCATCATTTTTCTTATAATATTTTTGAGAAACATTTAGCATTACCCAGAGGACACCTGCACGAGGAGGCGTTCTCATTATCCTCCAAAAATTATTTTCATTTTCATATTATTATTCATAGTATGAAATTCGTTATTTAAATGAAAAATGGGTGATTAAAATGTTATAATATTGATAATAAAATAATAATAAATGTATTCAGTGGCGTACCAAGGATTTTAGAACTGTGGGTCTGCCTTACTTACGAGAGGCCACTGTGTAGAAACTTCAACCAACTACCTATATAGTTAGCCGTTAGGTATTACAAAGTCACTCTGGGCTCGCGATTTACCTTATTAGTTATTTACATCACATTTTGATACCAACGTTCAATATAACTATATCACATATTTTTAAGTAAATTGTAAAATTTACTTACAAGCTTTAATAGCTATATTTAATTTATTTTTATTTTTATTTGTTGCATTAATATTTATATTCAATTAAAAAATTTACCTGACATAATTAAATCATTAGAAGAAATTATACAAATTTATTGTTTTATTAGTATACGTATATTTGCAGTATATTTATTTTATTTTAGTTTTCAATGACTGATTTCATTTTCACAAGAGATATAGAATAGGTGGTTCTAAATTCTAATACAATAGAAAAGTCAAAAATAATACATTAATAAAATTTATATTTAATAATACCTACATGAAAATAATAGTAAAGAACTAGAACATTACAATCATTTTCTGCGCTTTTCATTGGTGCGAATTATGTACTATATTATGTACTAATTACAAGGGCGCACCCAAGGGGGTGGCTAAAGGGATTTAGCCCCCCCCCCAAATGGCTAGCCCCAAACATTTTGATAATTTTATTAGGTTTATTGACAAATTGACATTTTACTTTAAATTGTTATAAAAAAAAATTAACAACTATCGAAATTGAAACATTAGGTATAACATAATATTATAATATTATATCATTGATTTTATAATTTTATTATATTTATACCTGTCATTCCGGGCCCCGGGAGAGACCTCTGTTGTCCATTATTATCAAACTTCAGAAGTACTCTCAGTATTGGGGAAAAAAGGACCAAGGCGTCTCAACTTTATAATTTAAAAGGTTAGACTTATAAAAAATAATCATTATATTATTCATAATTAAATAAATAGGTAATATTTATGTTTTACAGGTATAACATCAAGGCTACGGCGACACTTAAAACCGGGACAAAAATAAAAAAATTTGTTAGTAAAAGATTGTAAAAAAGCTTAAAGATTTCTGTACATATTTCAAAATAAATACTTACTATTAATATTAAAATTATGTGAATTTAGCCCTCCCCAAAAAAAAATCCTGGGTGCGCCCCTGACTAATTATGCTAACAAAATCAATGGTTTGAGCTATGTTGCTTTCTATGCTCAATATGGCCAAATTTGATAGCCGGTCTTCAGTCATAGTTGAGCTAAGGCATGTTTTGAGAAGTTTTAGAACGCTAAAACTTCTTTCTGCAGTTGCACTGCTGACTGGTATAGTGTATAAAAATTTTATACAAAGTATATAAATTTGGATATGAAGAAACCATGTCTCGTGATATCATGAATTTTCAATACATCATTTAATTTTAAAGGTCCAGTTACTCCAGTTTCAATAGTTTTGCCATTTGTTGGTAAACTAGATGTAATGAACGGTATTCCACTTCTATATCAATTTCATCTATGTCAACTTCATAAAATCTTATATAATATCTATATCCAACATATTTTTATACTTGTGTTTATCGAATTTTAGGTACGTAAATTATAAGTTGATAAGCTTTTTCGTACGCGTTATTTTACTTCAATACTCAGTCTTCACAGCTGTATATACGATATACCCCTATATCATAATAGCAGATCTTCGATATTTTGAAGGGGGGGCACATATAAATTGTATAATTTTAATTTTAATTAATAATACATACACACTGACACTATCAATAATGATTATAATAAGTAATAATTAATAGTTGGTAGTATTATCCTTATCAACTGTATGTTTCATTTATATGATACTCGTAGTTACATAACAACTTGTCGACAGAAAATTGACAAGGGGCACGTGCCTCTCCTCTAAATTCATCACTGTACATAATTTTTTCAAATAAAAAAATGTTTATATAGTTTGCCATTTCGAGGGGCCACATTTAACTGGGAAAACAACTGTGGCTCAGCTGACCTCCCAAACCCCCCCCTGGGTCCGCCCCTGAATGTATTTATATAAATTTATAAGTGTAAAAATATAATAAAAAATATATAAGTAAAATTGTAGTGTAAATAATGAGTGAACAATTTTAGTGTAATAATATATAAATCTATTTTTTTAAGTAAAAAGCCATGTATTACTCACTGAGATTTCTTTATTTTTATATTTGTAAGTGTTCTTTCTAAGAGTTCTTTTTTTTTTAGTTTTTGTATTTTGGAATTTAAATGGTGCATCTAGGTTGATTAATAATGTACGTTTCTGTTTGTACTTCTTTTAATTTTGAAAT